TTAACTCTATAGTAACCTTGTCATCCATAACAGTTAGCCGTTAATGTTGAGTAATAAAAGGATCTAATTTCAAAAAGCAGTATCATTTCGAACTGGTTTTACTTTATCTATGGACAATAATTCACTATTGTTGGAAACCTCAAATTATTTATTGTTGTTTGCTGTAAAATAGCAAATTTTTGAGTTTTTTATAGCCATCGCAAATAGCAACATAATATCAGCGAGAATTTGATAGTCTTAAAAAATTTTTAATTAACAAACCTCAATTCGATTTCTAGATAACCTTCGATAACGTTGCATTTTTTAAACAAATAATCATTGATACGTGCAAAAGAATCGATGGTGCCACCTTTGCATTTCACTGGACAATAGCCTTCACATTTAATACAATGTGATGAAGTGGTCGAGTCTGTAATGAAAAATTAATTATTTTCGAATTTTTTTGAATTAGTAAAAAACTGTTTTTTTTTTTTAAATTGGTTTCCGCTTTATAATTAAAATCATAATACACAAACCAATTTCTTGTCCAAATGGACAATCAACGCGGCACATATTTTCAACGATTAGCATCCGTTTCTTGGTACTTTCCATCGTCACTGGTGCTGATATATTTCGACATTCTTCACTCGTTACACATCTTCTATAATAAAAACATTTCCCTATCAATTGAGCATAATTGGTATTAATGTTTTAACGTTAACGCTTCAAGTTTCTTTCAGCATTTAAAAGCTGTAAAAAACTTTTCTTGCTTGAATAAAAGATTAAGGAAAAAAAATTTATTTGAAGGAAAAATATATTCCAAAAAAAAAGGAAATAAATTCTTCCTTTTTATTAAATCTTCATAAAATTACTTCAAAAAGAAACTTCTTCAAAAACTATCGTACTCTGAAAAAGCACTTGCCTTACAAGATAAATGTGATGTATTTCATAAAAGCCAATTGGACATTTATCCATGCATGTACCCTGGTAGACGACATTTTTGCAAAAATGGCAAGCACTAGGATCATCAGGTGCCGAGCATCCACCCAAACACTGATCATGACATTTTTCGCCATCATCGTCACAACCTGGTCCTACCGTTTTGTCATCGTTCCATCTGTATTTGCATTCTACAACAGTTGAATAACTGCTTGAGAAAATGAAAATTACAATTAAATCTATTTGAAGCTTGCAAATCTCATTTCTTGATGAACTTTTAAATTTTATTTTTTATATGCAAAAGGACTTCAAATTTCTAAATGCAATTTCTTCAAATATATGCTTGATAGGATCAACTTTCGGAAAGAAATACAAAAAAAATCTTACCAAGCTGACATGTTTCAGCGTCCCAACATGACAACATATGGTCACGTTTATGACAACGATGTTCAATCTGTGGCACGCAGTCATCGCTACATAAGTCTGAAAAATTATTTTTTTTTAAGAATCCAGTAATCGGTATGGAAAAATTAGAATTATCAAAAATTCTAAATTCTTAAAATATTTTGTAAATTCCAAATGAAATTCAACAATTAACATCCAGACAATAGGGCTGTATAATATAACAATTAAAACCATATTTAATATGAATCTTAATAAATAATAATACAATGATAGTAATGATAATAATAATGAGAATAATAATGGCAATGATAATAAATTCAAGAAATGATATATTCAAATACCAAACAACTAAAATTAATTAATGGTAATAACCATCAGTGATCAGTGACAAAATGATACGTGAATGAAACTGTTTACATATGAATAGTGAGGAAAAATTCTTTTACCAGAATCGATTCCTTTGTTCTGGTCAGTCAGAATATCATTAGCGGGTCCGATCAGTATTTGACTCCAGTCGATATATCGACTATAACAGAGCTGGGTATTATCCATAATTCGCACACCACCATTAATAATAGTTGTCAGCTTTGGTAGGCCAATTTCTATCAAGTGGGTATTCTGATATATCACAAGCGCATAATTCATGATTAATTCTTGTCCACCAATAATGCGCAGATTAGGAAATATTCGTTTCAGCGATCGAAGGGCACTAAATATTCTCCTTTATAATCAGAGCCAATCTCACTGTTGAACAATAATCTCTTCATGATTGTTGCGAAAATAGCTAGCAATGAAGAAAAAAAGTATGCCAACCTGACTTGGAATATTAGCAGATGTCCTGTAATCACGCGTAAGCGACTGAAGACTGGAAAATTTTCATGAGTGAAATTTGAACTTGTAATCATTGAAACCGAGAAATCACCCTCCATTACCGTACAATTAGCCAAGGTTGACCATTTCTCATTCGTTTCCTTGTCTTGAAATGCCATATTCGGACTATTCCGAATGTCCAATGAACGGCAGTATACATCGTCATGAGCAGATGACTAAAATGCATATACTTATATCTACACTATAGGAGAAGGCAATTTTTAAAATATGCAAAATTTGAAAGTTTTCATATTCATATAAGAAAAAAGAATTGGAACTAATGTTTGACGCCTTTCTTTACCTTACCGTATTTGACGAAAAAAAGTTTCAATTTGCAAAGTATGAAGCATTAAGAAATGTTTGAGGATGAATTATGTTGGTAAGGTTGAAGATTAATTTACGTGCAATATGAATGGCTTAAATCTTAAATTATATTAAATTATGAAGTAGAATTTGCTTATTTGAAATAAAAACAAAATGACTTGCAGAAACTGTAAGTAGACTAAATATCCAAATGCTCCACATCGAATACAAACTCCATATCCTAAAGCTGCAATTAGCAGCAAATTTGTCTTAAAATCATCGAATACGATGTGTAATAATCTAAAAATGATAGTTATAGAAATAAGAAATCAAAACTAACAATAATAATAGCAATAACATGCGAATTCTAACTTATAACAAAACAAATATCTTAAAGAAAGGATGAATCATTTCCATGCAAATAAAAACTTGGTTTTTACATTCTTTTAAATTTCCTCTATTACTTACATAAATGATTATGATTGTTTTCCAAACCATACTTAATTCGCTCAAAGTGTTAATGAATGCGATCATACTTCCTGCTTATTAATTTCGATTAATCATTCAGATTTTGAAAGTTTCCTTTTTCCAGTAATATCGTTTTTATTTGTCTTATAACAGTTGGTACTTTGGTTTCATTTCTTTATTAATTTCATGCACAGTTATCGTTATCTCAAAGCAATATAAATTTGTACATTCATCTAAGAATATGAATTTGTTAAAGAATAAAAAAAGAAACAAAAATGGAAAGCGTAAACAACAAATAATACAACGAGAAAAACAAGTCCCCGTTATATCCTGATTGCACAACCAGGACATAAGGAAACATAGAGAAATTATCCAATAAGCTTTTAGTTCGTCTTAATTAAAAGCGAAAGTAAAACAAAAGAAATTAGCTAATCACAAACTAATTGATAGTAAAACAGACAAACGACGTCAACTCTCGACGGGCCGTATATTATACGGCCATTGCTAGTAAATGGATGGCTTTTTTTTAAATTCATTTTTTGAAAGTAATACGACATTTAGACCGCAAATGGAATTTATTCTGTTTTTGAATTAGTATTGTTTAAATCTAATGATAAGTGAGGAACGCTATGCCATAACGTAAACATTAATTTTGATTTAAACTCTAATTATATGCCTTATGAACCACTTCGAGAATTTACCTTGCTTATTTACTTAATTTATTTCGTTTATTGACAGCTGTTAAAAAAATAGTTGATATAAACATATCCAATTATAATAATTATAAATATAAACGAAATTACAATAACAGTTGTAATTATTGCGATATATATAGCGTATAATTAATTAGCATCTTAAAATTATGATTAAAAAAAATGGATTTGAATTTAATTTATTGTGAACATAATGTGGCGAAAAATTGCATCAAATATAAGCGAGATTAAGGAGAGAATAATGCATAACAACTTCTTATGTGTACGTTATATACCACAGTAACCACATTATGAATGCATCCATATAGTGAACTTTTGACCTCGGTATAACATCAATATGACCTCAATATCGATCGATATAATGCCAGCAAATGGTAAGGGGAACTCAAGACGACAGAGATAATTCATATGTGAACGACAATGACGCACACTCGACGCAACAACAGTTAACATACCTTTTGGCTTCGTTATCATCATCAAAAAGTAACTAATTATCATCATCAAAAAGTAACTAACCAAAAAAAGAAAACTAAGTAATATAAAATATTTGTAGAGAAGCGAGAGAAAAGAAGAAGAAATGAGAAAATACAGGAATGAGAAAAGAAATGTTTAGAATAGAGAGAAACAGAAAGAAATTAATAATAAAGGGAAAAGTGAAGAAAATTAAAAATTCATAAATATAATTTCAAATATCTAGGTTTGCAGTAACGGTTGAATTAATTGAAGTGTCCGGTTGATTTTATTCCGGACAGTTGCCGATCGATGTGTTCGTCTGTTCATTTCATCTTTTCTGAATCATTCACTTTTGTTTTGCTAATTATACTGAAATAAAAAAAGAATGAATATTCTAGCAAATAACTTAATTGGAAATGATTATATTTTAAATTCCATCTCGCATTCCAATATAGATATTTGATAAAATGCTTAATAAAAATTAAATCAACTGAATTTTATTAATTGGTAAAGATTAATGTTTTTTTTGTTTAAATGTTATTATTTGAATTTTTATTTGTTTATTTGTTATTTAAATTATTACATTTAACTAATTAACCTATTTTGTTTGAATTAATTATTGTAATTAAAATTAATTTAGTATTTGATGAAAAGGCAAAAGAAACATATAAAAATTTATGATTAACTTTAAAATCTTTACCAAAACATTCACATAATAAATTCTTTTTTTCTTTCACTCTCTTCACTTTTTTTGTTTTAATTTTATTATTTATGTATACAGTATCGATAATTAGCACCAAATAAACATATGTGTGAAATTTTAAAATTTCTTAAATTTCAGAAAATCCTTGCTATTCAAAAATTTTACAAATGGAAGCAAATGAAGAGAACAGAACAGAGAGAGAGATTCCTGATACGGTAAAAACGAAAACGGACGTTTCTACATCAGAATCAGATTATAAAACTGTTGAAAGTATCGTTATTGATCCAATAAAATCATTTAAAAAATCATCAATTGTAACAAAAGAATTCGATACATCGATTAAAGGTAATAAAGCAAAAGTATGTCTTTGATTATTTATTCATTTTTGTTTTAAACGGAATGATCTATGATGATATAAATATTGAAGTACCATATGCTATAATGAATTAGAGAAATTCAATGTAAAGTTTAGAGAACGATATTCTTTTGAGTTCCTTCCTCAGTGCGAAATATATTTTGATGTTACTAAAGCATAATATTTGAATGTGATATTATCTTTATTAGGTACTCAATATATCACTTGAATACCCGTAAAGCTGTAAAAAGTAATATCATCTTTATCAGAAGTACTCAAAGCTTCTCGTGTATTCCAACGATATTGAGTATTGAGTATTTTTAAAGAATATTTAATGCATTACCTGAATAATAAAAAAGCTTCAAATAATTCTGGTACTTTCCAGCCTTTTCTACTGTAATTATAACTGTAAAAAATTTTACTATAATAATAAATCTGTCGTCTAAAATTTTCTATTAAAAATTTAAATGAGTGAAAATTGATAACAGGTGAAAAAATGGCTTAGTTCGGTAATAATACGCCTTACTAAAGAATGGCAGCCAAAATTATGCCAGTCGTTATTTACTGAGCAAGAATTAATTGAATTATGTTATCGAGCCAGGGAAGTATTTTGGATGCAACCTACGCTTGTAGAAGTAAAGTTTTCTTTTCCTTCAATCTTTAATATCAGATTATATCTAAATTTCTCAGTTATTAATTTTAACTTAAATTTTGGAATGAAATACTACTAATCTTTTATTAAAATCTTTTTTTCAACAGATTACATTAAGATATAAAAAAAATAAGATGTATTGACAAATGATTTGTGGGATATTTTTATATAAATTTATTAATTTAATTAAGAATAGCTAGAAAAAATAGCAAATATATTAGATATAAATAATTTAAGAAAAAATAATAAAACCTTCTATTTAATAAATCTGTCAAAAAGCAAAATGAAAATAAAATTAGGATATTTTTTTAGTTGAATTGTTTAAAATCTTTTATAGCCTAAATCGCCAATAACAATTTGTGGTGATATACACGGCCAATTTAAAGATTTATTGGCACTTTTTATTTTGTATGGTTTTCCACCTAATCGACGATATCTTTTTCTTGGTGATTATGTTGATCGTGGATCATTTTCTATTGAAGTTGTAACACTTTTATTTGCTTATAAGGTAAATTATATAAACATAAAAAACTTTTTCTTATTTAATTTAAGATTGGAAAAGAAAGAGAGAAAAGGAAAATTTATTATTAAATTATTTCTTTTTGAAATTTAACTTTGATATTTCTTTTTCTTTGAAAAGTTAAAAATTTTTTGTTTAATAAAAATTTCTTTCTTTAATTTTTACTTAGCAAAAGAAAAAGAAGTATGAATCAGAATATTTTGATAATATTAGATACTTAAAGATACTTTACCCATGTGATATATATCTTCTACGCGGAAATCATGAATCACGTTATGTTAATCTTAGATATGGATTCTACGATGAATGTGTACTAAGGTATCGCAGAATGTTTATGCTATATTTTTTTAAATTACTTTCATGCTGAAATAAAATTCTGATTTATAATAGATTTTGAAAAGAAAAAAATTGGCAATATCATTGTTATACTGTTAATAGTTTTGTCATTTTATTTCATTATCATAATCACATAATCTCATTTATATCATTAGTATAGTACATAGCGATCATTGCAAATTTTGTTAATTATTATTACAATTATAATTATTATTATTATTGCTAGTAGTAATCTATTAGTTAATATGATCACTATCAATAAATCATCATTGCCATAGATTATTTCAAATCAGTAAATTGTCATTACTATTATTATTATTATTATCAAATTGTCATTATTATTATCATTATTGTTATTATTATCAAATTGTCATTATTATTATTATCATTGCCATTATTATTATTATTAAAAAAGATTATTATCAGTAAATTATTGCTATTAAGAATTTAAAAAATCGTATTATTAATAAATTTGTTATTACTGTCAATTAAAAAAAATTGTTGCTAATAAATTGTTATTATTATTATTATTATCGTTCAGATAAGATCCTTATGAATAAATTCCAATTATTATCAGTTTAAAAAAATCATTATCAGTTAAAAAATCATTAGGATTTAAAATAACAATTATTAGTAAATTATTGTCATCGGTTGTGATTATTATTATCCGTAAATTGTTGTGGAAAGTTTTTATCTATACGTTGTTTAATTTATTCTTTTTAATTAATGCTTGATGTTTTGTGCAATCACTTTTTTTTGTCTTTCAATTCCTTGTTATATGATAAGTTATTTCAAATACTCGAATACATTATTTGACACATTTCAAATGGCATTTTTTTGCATGCCATTTTGTGCACGAATACAAAAACGAATTTTATGCATGCATGGTGGGATAAGTGAAGATTTAACAGAACTTGCACAGGTAAACGAAAACTTACCGAAATATCTCTTAAATAATTGGTTATCATAATAACGGTAAATTACAAAATAAAAAAGGAAATTCGAAGTAACATAAAATTGTAGTTCGGTCATAGCTTTTATTAGATTAAAAAATAAGCCGTAGCATATTTCGAGCGATTATAATATTTCTGACAGCATACTTTTATAGTATTGAAAATATTAAATTTGTAACATGATCATACCTCCGAAAATCTTATCAATTATTTAATTTCAATTCTTCGATCCCATTTAAATTTCAGTCTTTTAATTTCAATACAGCTGATTAGAAAGTAATAAAATTCCCTTAATTATGTTGCTAATTTCCGAAATTTTTTTTAGCTGGAGCGAATTGAACGACCATGTGAAATTCCAGATTTAGGCATATTAACTGATTTAACGTGGTCTGATCCAAGTTATAACGTAACTAATTATGATTATAATAGTAGACGTGGAGTTGCACGGTTATTCAGCATTAATGCTGTAAAAGAGTTTTGCAAAACACTTGGCTTAGATATGATAGTGCGAGCACATCAAGTATATAAATATACTTATTAATTTTTTCTTAATGAAGCGAATATTTCAATGGATTTTGTAATATTTAAAAATTGTGTGTATTATTATTATTAGTACAAATAATGAACAATAATAATAACAGTAATAATAACAATAAAAAAATAATAATAAAAATAATAGTAATAATAATAATAACAATTATAATAATAATAATAATAATAATAACAATTATTATTATTATTATTATATAATTATAATAATTATTAATTATTATTATTATTATTATAACAATAATGATAGTAATGATAATTACTATTATTATTATAACCAGTTATGTAATAGCAAAAAAATGTACATTTATCTTCGTACCATTTCTTGATTTAATTCTACAATTTTAAATTCTGATTTAAATTTTAACAGCTTCAATTATTTCATCCTAAATTTTCGATCTTCTTTATGCGAACAAATTGAAAGCAATAAAAAATTGGAATATCCGAGGCAAAAAAATCGCAACGATACCTCGAAAATTTTTTTTACCAGTATAAAATCAATTTCTATCAATTGATAAATAATCGTTATATCAATTTTTAATTCGATCAGTCAGTCAATGGACCAGTTATGCAAATTTGTCTTTTTCTCTTTTAAGGTGATGCAAAATGGTTATGAGAAATTTGGTAATCATTTAATAACGATCTTTTCGGCACCAAATTATTTTATGTGTAATTCTGCAGCAGTACTACATGTAGCAAAAGATTTGGTAATCATTTATCATATTTTGCTTTTTTTAATTCAGAATTAGTACTTTTATCTTCACTAATTAGAGATAAAAATTGAAATTTATTTATTGCATACTTTCAAATCGAATCATTTCAGATTGCTAAATTTTGGAAGGATAAGAAATTAAATTTTTTAGTTTGAAGAAAAATAAGAATTTTTAATAATTTTAGAATACATTATTCTCTTATTGGATTCATTTTTTGTAAAATATTTTTCCAACAAAATGATTTTAGTTCGAATTACTTGTCGTAGACATAATATTTTATCGTTTTAAGAAGTATTTACTGAATTGCTTCTTTAATTTATTTCTTACCAATTTTGCCGTTAACTGAAATTTGTCAAAATTTTAATGCACCATCGAAATGTGAACGATATGTGGGGAAAGGATAATTTGAAAGTTATTAAGTCAAAAATATTAAATTACAGGTTCTATTTCTCTAATTTGTTTTTCTAGAAGTGTAAGATAGAAGTGCATCGACCTGATCAGCAATCTGTAATTAGTAAGATCAAGAAGAAGAAAAGGAATAAAGAAGTTATGCGACCAAGTGCTGCTACTGATAATTAGATTAATCATAAATCCTACTTTTACTTCTTTAATTTCATTGATAACTGAAGCGATGTAAATTAAAAAAAAATCTGCTAAAGTACTTTTAAATTTAAAAATGTTTCGATCAAAAAAAGATTTTTTCCTAGTAACGGCTATAATGCAGGTGTTTTATAAAAAATTTGTTGTATGATACAACGATACAAAGTATTTTAGGCATTTCAGGCTAATCATAGTACGGATAAACAAAAACTTAGTGTTTGAAAACTTCGTAATTGACAGAAAAAAAGTATATATATATGTAAAATCAAAAATATACCATAAACGGAACTAGCGCCTTCGTTGATATGATGCAAATAAAACTGGATAGCTTAAATTTCAGTTGCATCGAAACGATTCGATTGCTTATAATAGACATTGACAGAACTGAGGAAAATTGAAAAAATTTTAGTTTTCACGGCAAAAGAAGGAAACAAGACAGAGTTACCAGTCCGTGATGAATGCTCCATTAATAATATTAATTAGAAACGATGTAATTCGAGCAGACAGTCTATGCTTTATATTCCTTAAATTATTTTATTGCATTTATTTACACCAACAATGGGTCTTTACTAGCATTTCCATATTTACGCCGTTAAGTCGATGAATATGAAGAGTAGTCTGGTCATAATGATGATTGTAACAGCAGTTTTCAGGACTACTGATCAAAGCTTGAATAAAATGATATCTCTGAAATCAATCAACTTCCTTGTCCTTATTTTCTCGTCAACTTCTCGTATAGAAGAATTCAAAATGTTGTGCGTTGTAATCTGAAAACTTAAGGAACGCAACGAACACAATAACGACTGAGAACAGAACATACGAAACACATATACGTAATATCGAAAATTTTCGTGTTGCATGTTGCTTCTTACTCATTACTAATGTACAATTTGGAGAAAATTATGAGACGAATTAAAAAATAATAACTGTGTTCTTCGTGATTCTGTTTCTAGTAGTATCAGGTCGTATGATATCAGCAGAAAGCACATAATAAAGTTGATACGAGCGTTTCATTTAACAAGTGGCACTATAAATTCAGTGGACATGTTTTTTATTTACATTAAATGTGAACAACGTTTCTCATGTTATTTGATTCGCTTTCATATTATCACTTTGCAATTTCAATGCAATTATGGGCATTTTTCTCTATTATCATCAGCCGAAAATATCTCGGTCCAGTAGACGGCAGCAGAGTTCGGATCTGGCTGGGATCCACTGTCCCGTGATGTTATTTCGAATGTTGAACGTGGATCGCTGGCCCAGATATTAGCCGAACCTCGACCAAAAAGACTTCCAGACAGCCCTAGTGGATCATCGATAAAAGTATTGTGATGGTGCATTCCTTGAACTCGATCGGATCTTGCTTGTCGAAATGATGGTGTAGGACGTGGCGATGAAAAAATTGGCTCTGGAACAAGTTTCAAGTGAAAAATTTTCAGTGAGAACGAAAACACTTTAAGACAAAATGATAAATAAGATGAAAGAAATTCAACTGATCAAGAATCAGAAGTATTAACTGAATTTAAACAAAGAATAACCCGTTGCTAAATTTGCTGGTCGAGGATAAGATTGCGATGAATTTTCGATAACAAATGGTGGCGCTTGTGGATTAAGCCTAAATGCACGAACTGATTCTGCAAGATAATTACATTCACCGCTTGAGGTTGGCAGCTCCTGAACAGAACTGTTTGCTGGTACAGATGACCAATTATTATTGGTAGAAATCGGTGGAACCTGCCAAACACTTCCACTGTTTCCTTGTTTATCATAATCACGATCACAGAAATATTCTGATAGTGCTGGAAATCTTAGGTTAAAGCCTGGCCAAATCTCTTCTTTTTCCCCTGAAAAAAATTCCTATTTTGAATAAACTTCTAAATTTTCAAAAATATATAGTTTTCCAAATGACATAATTTCAGTACAGCCTATCCATACCACTATTGCTCGTTAATGAGGGACTGTGGGAATGTAAAAAAGCGAGGTCAGTTACATGTTATTCATCTTATTTATTCGACCGATTATGCAAATTTCTCGATGGATTAACTACAAAACTTTGAAAAGATCTGATTCTAAATAATTAATGCCTTATGAAAGTCGAAAATCTTGGCCTTTGCACTGATCAAATATCAGGTACAGCATAATAAATCCAATGCCTATTTTGAAACGATAAATGAAACGAACCCTTTAATCGCTTATTTCTCAAATACTGATCTTCAGCTAGTTTTCGTTCTCGCTGTAATTGCTCGATGAATGCACTCGGCCGATTACCACTCTGTTTGCCACCATTTCGTTGAGCACAAACTGGTCCCAAGATTTCTATAATAGAATGTTTGACAAATTCTAGACAAAGAATTTCAGTATTTTGTTAATACTTCGGTACTGCTAGAAAAAACTTTGGCATTTGCTATTAGAATGTTCTTTTCTCTAATTCAAATAATTTTACAAGGTTTCACCTTGTAAACTATCAACTTCGCATTAATATTTCTTTAAAGGTAATGAAAGGTAAAGGTAATGCTCAGTACCTACGAATCTTTTGGCTACATATGATTTATTTAAAAATTTGCCATTTCTAGAAAAGGCTTCTTGCTTTCTTTGCGGATTCTTTCCTTGTTCTGATTGAATTGAGTGCACAGTGGTCACAGGTGAGGGCGAAGATAATCCTAGTGAAAACCACTCTGGTGACAATTTTTTTTCCGATAAGAATAAACCTTCGGCAGCATCGGCTAAGGCACTAAAATCCTCATCGACATTTCCGTCTAAAAATAAAACTGAATTGAGGACAAATCTCGGACTATTATAATTTAAAGTTAAAAAACAAAAATGAAACGGACAAATAACTTGTTCGGTGGACATGTAAACGAGAATAACTTCTTCGACATCTTATTAGCTACAGCTCAATTAAACCAATCGGTTACGACCAGTTCTTGACGATTAAAACGAAGTTTTAAGAAATCAGGACTTGCCATTTAGTATAATAGGACTATCCGCCCACTCCGGTATAGCATTCGTATCATTTAATTCTGCTTCTGACCTAAAGATCCATCACTCCTTATTATGATAAAAGAAAAAAGATGAATTTGAAAAATCTTTGAAGTCGCCAAAAGCTCGAATTCGAATATTTCTAATTCCAGAAAGCATATTTAAAACAAAAAAAAAAAAACATCAAGTGCAGAAAACACACCAGGGTATGCCTAACAGCAACATCATATCTTCATGCGGCCCAAACAAACGTGGAATAATTTTGAATCGGTTTATGAGAGAAACTTTTTTATTGAAATTTTAACCTTTCATCAACAGTCTCCTGATGATGTATCGGAAACCACTCGCAACCATTCTCATCGTTTTCTCTAGTCGGAAGAGCAGCACTGTGTGATACGTAATTCTCTTTTGATTTCTTGAGATCCCGTGAACTCGGATCATGTTTGCTAACTAGGCTTGTATTCTTAACATAACCATTAGGACTGTCTGAAAGCCATGAAATGGTAGTAGCTTGTATGACCGCTTTGGACTGTAGTCTATTTGAATCTTAAATTAATATTTTATTTATAGTTGTAACAGTTTCAGTTTTGGTTTTTTTCTTAATACATTATGTACAGTTAATTATAGCAGTTTCATTTTTTTTACTTTCCTATTCTATGAAATACCGCTAAAATCATAGCTTTTCGATGATTTTGAAACTTAAAATTTGTATATCATTATTGACTATATTATATGTATGCACATAGTAATGAAGTATTACTCGAAATTGTACATGAACTGCTGAGTCTTCGCCATTTTAATCTTTCTGATCATTATAATAGTTTTTTTATATTTTACAATACTGATTTTTTTTAGCTATAATAAAATCATCTTACTCTTCTATATATTTTGAAATCCATAAAATTGGAGTATTATATGTAGCTCAATTAAAACTACAGACTAAAATTGGATCTGCAATTTGTTTTGAAATACCGATTTTACCTGTGCGGTTTTCTTTCGTTTCTTTCGCCTTTAGAAATGATGTCCTTTCACCACTTACCTAAAAACTATATGTGAGTATTTATGCAACATATAAAAAAGAATCCAGTCTTTTTTAACTTTAGTTTTAAATAATAAAAAATCTTAGTACCTTTTCCTTTGAAGATCTGCACAATCCATTGACAGATACATTCTTTGGAGAATTATTATGCGGTTCGATCGAATATGGTGACAGACTAGAGCTATAACATTATTTTAGAGGAAATGTTGACCAATACTAAACATGTTTAAACAAAAAAAATCAAACCAGAATTTTATACCGTATTTCTCTTTACCAACTACACATAATTCTCAATTCTTAAACAGCATTAATCACAGTTTCAGGTTTCAGCTGGATTTTTTTAATTTCTTTTATCCCCGATTAGGCGTAGAGTTTTCTCACTGATGACAAAAAATCCTGTTACTTCGTCCTCTCTCATTCTGCCTTTACCCACAAAATAGTTTGATAATACAGCGCTAGAAACCAAATTCTAAAGAAAAAAAATCTGTATTATACCTTTTATGATCGTATCGTTTTCTTAGTGAACTCGACCCGCTAGTTGTTGTAATCGATGAATCAGGTGGCGTCGATATTGATTTACTGCTATCCAAAGCAACACCTCTAGTAAAATAGGTTGAGTCAGCATGACATTTAACTAACGTTTTCTTCTGACGTGTTCTTGCCGATTTTACTGTTACTCGCGTCTGAATGAGAAGCTTTTAATGGTATGATATCATAAGGTTTGCTGCACTGACCCTTGCAAAGATGCTGCCAGAAATAATCGTTTGATGATAGCATCGAGGTACCGTAACACGATCAAAAAAGTGTAAATGGCAACGATTTTTGGAATAAATCCAAAATTTATATAATTTGAACAATTATGACTGTGCAGCATCATTTCAGCAATATGGTATTAGAGATAACTGCATGAGATTGACGAGGGTTTGACAACCGTCACGGTCGCATACCAATGCAATAATTAATTTCATCTATTAAAATAATGCTTAATAATAATACAAATTAACGAAATATATTAAAAAAAATAGAAACAACATACATCATCACCACGGAACTGCCATACGAATGAAAACAACCACAGAACACTGTTTGCTGTTTGCCAGAATGAGCGTATCAACAAATTCGAATCTTCCGAATAGTGCAAAACATGGCGACGAGGTGTTGTTGGTTTGAACTTCGCTGAAGAATTTCGAACTTTTAGGAAATGAAGTAAAAAATAAACAAATAGGAGAAAACTAAGTGATGTTTTTCCACCAGTAATTTTCACATTATATACAAATCACTGAACACTATGTATTTAACAATACTAAACTTGCGACTAACAAAATTTCATGGTGCGTTTTGCAGATGCAATGGTTTTGTACAGAGCACAATATACTAAAATGAAAAATGAGACTTAATACTATTAAAATATTTCATTCTCTTTGAAGTCAGTGTTAATAAAACTCATGAATAATTATTGATAACACAGTGTTAGATAAGAAGTTACCGCACTATTTAAAGAAAACAAAAAAGAATACATAGAGAAGAAAGTCCTCTGTCACGAGTGCGTCGCATATCAATGGTGTTTAGATCTAACAGTCGTATTTGGCCAAATTGCTGCCTTATACCACATATAACCGTTCTATTAGCTTCCAAATATGCACAAGCAATGATACATATAAGGCACAGCCTGGAATGAAAGATAAAAGATTTGAAACTAGATATTCCGAAATAACTTTAAAACTGCCACAGTTACTAAAAAAGGATTGGATCAACTGCTAATGGTTCACTGGATATTGGCAAATATATGACGGATAAACCATCTGAAATTCCTAAATTTTAAATCTGAAATCGCTAAACAAGAAATTTAACTTAATGTTCACTATACAATAATGGATTTAATTAAATGGCACTTAACAACAATAAACGTTCACTGCACAATCCCGACAAAAACTCAGCCTTTACGGCTGTTGATCAAGTTCAATTTCTTTGTTGTTGTTGGAAGAAAGCTCACATTAAAGCAGATATGCAGGAATAATACATAAAACTTTCAAAAGGTGGTCGTGGCAAAGCTGCATGACATTTGGCTAACATATGTCGTGGTACAGACGCACCCAATGGAAACAGCCAAGATGTCCCATTCATATGCATATAAAACTGCAATGCAGCTTCATTCCATGACATTAGGAAATCAGGCGTATATCTAAAAATATATCCAATAAACATTCCAGCTTTTCTAAACTTCTACAAAGCTAACTTGTATGTCCATTTTTCAAATAACTGTAATAAATTTGAAACAACAAAACAGCTGCTGGATTTGAAAAAATTATACTTAATAAACACATCGGAAAAAAACTGACGCGATATCTAAAATGTGTGTCTCATTCGGTTTAAGCCGAAATGGATGACAGTTCAGAATGCGGAAGCCACGATTTTCACATGGAACATTACTGATACTCATGTTGACGACGGTAAATACTACTTCACCGGTGTTCATGACGGTAAAGGAACGTTTTACAGTGAGTGTTGTGAAAAGTTTGTGTGTCAAACCTGAAATTAAAAGTCCCCATGACTACATAAAGTCCACTCAAAGCAGCCTGTCTATTAATAGGATATCATTAAATAAAGGAAATTAGGAATAAGAAAACTGGCTTTAAAAATTATTGGAATTCGAAAAATATAGAGTTTTGCAAAAGTTGGAACAAAATTCAAACTGAAACTCGAAAGCAATTGCATCCAATAAATGTTAAATTATGAAGGAAACAAACGTTTTGGATTGTGACAGTCTGAAAGATGATGCGGCTGTATTTCAAAAGCCAGTGGATCGCGAGTTCTTGCAGCACGACCTTCTACTTGCATATCCATGCGCGCTCCGCGACCGTACAGTACAACTGGTTCCAAGACCGTTAAGTTATTACTTAAATTCAATTACATTACAGCAGAGTGAGGTTTCCTTGAACTTAGAATGTATCATTTCAATTTACCAACATCTTGCCACTACGTAATCTTCGAAACGTAACGCCAAACTATTACAAAATTAGCAGACATTATCATAATCAAAAAAAAATTACCCACAATTTTTAAAGACTAATTTCGAAAACCAAATAAAAACGATACCGAATCAGAAGTAACGACGAACGAAGAACATAATCAGAAGGTAGGAATCCAACACGAACACGTACTTTCATTCCTGGTTGTAGTAACATAGATAAGGTAAACCTGAAAGAAGTACAATATTAAATGAAAATTTGAATAAAACTTGGATAAATAATTAAAGCGATATCTTGTAGTTGTTAGACACTTACTTCGGAATCGGTATTCCAAGAACACTTTCCAGTTCTTCTCTTAATTTCGGAACCGGACTATCAGGTTTTAAAGTAAAGAGTTCCGTATCTCGTAATGAAAACATCAACGTTTCATTCATTTCAATTGGCTGTGTAAGTGGTGAATCCAGCTCACTCCGGAAAAAATCAATCAGCGTATCAGCATCGGGATAAATGACCAATGGCAACAATTGGACAGTAACTGGTAGCGATGATGGATTTGTTAGCGTTAAGTTCATTATCTGAAATGAGTTAAGGATCACGGAAAAAGCATAAAAACGATTAAGATCAAAATTGAAGTTTTTCAACTGCAAATCAAGTGCCGATAATAAAGGGAGATACATACTCAGTAATAAACTAAATTTCAAATAATGTGAAACAAACAGTAAAATTTCCCACAGCCGTTAGAGGAAAATGAACAGTTGAGCGCGTTAAAAGCTTTGGCCAAACAAACTCTGTAGTCAACGGTACTTCCAAATGCTTAACCTGAAATTCTAAAAGATGTAAGAAGATATAAGCAAAATTAAAATTGAAATTTGCTACTATTTCTTAAAATCAAATGCGAACAAAAAAAGTTTGACCAATTAACCGCTTTACCTTATCGGTATCAATAACGATAGTTTCATTCATATAATTTTTGCCTTCAGCTTGCAGAGCAAGAAATCTTCGTCGTAATCTGAAAATAAAATTCGAAATTATAAAATTGCATTCATCAATATTAAAAACAATCCAAAAGTGGTATCTACATAAATATAAATTTGAAAATGTAAACTCAAACTTGCTGTAGAGATAGTAATCGATTTCAGCCAGATTTTGCGGTAATTTCACGCCATATGTAAACCACTGCCCATCAGATGTGTGCAATGGCATACCTGAATGAAGGAAGATATTTAATCTAACAGTATGATATATTTGCTTTTGTCATAACAATCGTTCATTTTTTTTGGTACCCTATTATTTATTCTAAGCGGAATCCGATCACTATTGCACTCTATTAGCCTATTAGGACATTAAGACGGCTCCGTCTTCCCTGCAGCTTACTTAGTCAGATTAACAAGTAAATTTTTGATTATTTTCAATGTAATAATCAAAAAAGAGAATACCGACGTAACAATCATCTGTACAGTTAACACTTGGTATAATATGCACACGGCCAAGATCAGAAAGCGCTTTAGTTCTGATTATAGGAGTATTTTCCGGACTTATTGCCTCAAAAAACACTTTCCGATCACTAAATAATGACGAAATTCGTAAAACACGCATATCTTCCTCAAAGGTACTAAACACCTGAAATATTTACTAGAAAACTGTTTACCTTCAATTTTCAAATTTTGTAGAAAAAACATTATATGCTTCTAAAGGTTTAAAAGTGTAAATGTAAAATCTCCTAATGTTAAGAATATTTTCCATGTAGAATAGCACACAGACATTCAAATAATGAGAAACTAGTAAGGTAAGTTTTCAAATGAAGACGAAATTGACTTTCCTGAATATAGTAGACTTTAATCTACAGGAAAATCGGAAGTGATGCAAATGATGAATACAAATCTTTTACATTTACCTTTAATGAATGTGAGCTAATACGTCCAGGGAATGCATCAGGAAAAATAAGCTCTTCGGGTACTGCTATTACTGTACCTTGACCAACTGTATAAATCACCGGAAATGAACTGGAAATTGGAAATGAAATAATGAATAACTAATATCTTGTATTACGGTTAACACAACCTCAATACAATTTGATCTTGATACAGTTTAACAAATCCTAAATTTCAGTCATTTTCGGGGAAGAAATAAAAGTTTATTTTACATTCCGAATATTCGGCTTCAATCACAAAAAAGAAAAGCACTATTAGGATTTTTTATTTGATAAAAAGGAAAACTTACGAGTATTCAAAATCAGTTTCAATCACGAATTTATCAAATAAAATCGTACGATCACTTGGAGCTCGCAAAGTATATCTAAAGACCGCAAAACTGGAGCCAAGTAATACAAAATCCTCACCCTTAAAAGGGAAAAGAATGTTTCAGCAGTTCAAAAAGAAGTCAGAACCTGAGATGGAATTCTATGCCTAAATCTACCCATAAATTTTATTGACACTCGTCTCTAAATATCAAACCCACCAAGTGGATACAAAGATTTACAACTCCCTGAAATGTATATCGATATGTGACGCGGGATTTTACAGCTCAAAGAAAGCCGTGACTCACTGAAGCACTGTTGACACCACAACCAAAAACATTAAAGCAAAAAGGAACCTTTGAAATATACAAACCTCTCGGTAAGCTTCTGACAATTCCGATTTCTTACGGTTTGTCAAATTTAAAATCAAGCTGCTTTCAGCTTGTACGCTCAATAATGACAATGTTGTTATTGAAGGTAATGCTCTTCTTAAATTCTTCATAGTAATGGCAACTGGATTCTCGTTTATTACGGAAAACTACAAAAAAAAAAACAGCGATTTTAGAGAAGACAGCGTTTCTATAAGTAGTAACCAATTTTTTTTAATGTGATTTCCATTTCTGCAGAAGGGAAGTTTTCGAAACAATGTACTTCTAGCGATACTTGTAAAATTCATACATAAAAAGTTCTTTAGATTTTTGACCAATGTTATACCCTCCTCTACTTCGCATTCTTTCAATTTCGCATTGCACTAAAAAAATTCCCGCAATCGCCTCTCTATGTCGACTGCTAATCCAGCAATAAACTATCAGTTTCCAAACTATGAGCTAAAACAATTACCTGGATTGAGCGAGTATCACCGACATCAATAAGACCAAAATTAAATTCCTTCTGATGCAATGAGTGCAAAACTATCTAAAAGATTATATTGGCATTTTTGAATAGTTTTCCTGCTAAGTACCTTTCCGTTATTATAGGAGACATTTTCATTGTTTTCTAACGCATATCACAATATATCGAAATGGAAAATGAGGCTTAATACCTCAAACTTCAACAATACTTCGACATACCAAGCCGAATTATTTATCTCACAATATTTCTAAAACATCTCCATTACTATTTTATAACTTTGAAAAATTCGGAAAATCTCACCTTCAATTTTCCACTGAATATAATAAGAGGTATCTGAAATGTCGTGACATTGGTATGCACATTAAAAAATGTTGTAAAACCATCTTCTTCCTTTTTTATGTACTGCAAATAAATAACAGGCTTCGTCTCGCCAACCGCTATCGTTACCACATTTGAAATTAAGTTTGCCTTAAACATATTGTGTTTTTGAACAATTTATTCTTGAACAAATTTATCCTATGAAAGAAATTTTCATGGAAAATGAGAAATGAAATATCGAAATTCGATTCAAGAATTAAAAAATGTTAAATTTGATGATCGCAGTAAACCTCGGTTATTGAATATGACAAATCTCCTGACTATAGTACAGCACACTGGAAATAACATACGTAAATCTTCTGAATAGGACTAATAATGGTAGTTGCTAGAGTACATAGCACTTCTTCGGTTTTCTAAACAAGTAAACAATAATTACTTTAAAAAATCTTTGTGCTTCTGCATCTAAAGTTATTTTCCACACAGCAACTCCAAATGGCAAATCGTTGATTAATGAAATGCTCCGTGAGACAGGAGGCTTCAGAAAGCTATGAAATGCTGTTTCTTCCGTTTTCGACCTTATCGAACTGAAATCAAGAGTACGTAAAACCATAACTAAAACATTAATTGATTACAATGTAATTTGAAATGTTCAAAACGAATCCGAAAATTTTCACAACATCGATGAATTTACCCGTAGTAAACCTGTGCTGTGTATGGTATGGTAATGTTATAAGTACCACCGCGACTTTCAGCAACAATTCTTCCCTTATAACGAACCAGCTTTGGCCCCTCTTGATTGATGCGCAATAATTTCGTGTCAAATATGATTTTTGCTATTGCTTTTGATGCACCTATAAATGAGAAATTTCAACCTATTTTTAATCCCAGAATAGATTTGATATTTATTGATATTTATTAAACTCTTAAATTAACAACGATATAAAAAATATTTCAAATTAAAAGCGCAGTTTAACGACTGTTAGTGCTGGTCTTCATTTTTATTACGAGATTCTAATATGTCTAGTGTGTCGTATTACTATTACATGATACTGAGAATCCTAATCCTATATGAAAGTGAAGGAAAACACACCAGGTTGCTGTCTAGCTCCACATTTCACAGAAATTGGCGGCTTCGAAGCGAATTCCATGTAAATACCATTGGGCTTTTCATTACTTTCCAAATAAAGACTCTTAAAGAGAGAACCTGAGCCACCAATTATAAGATAAATCTTGACTACTTTTTGAAGAGCCAATTTGAATACTTTAAGTCTAATTTGAACACTAAAAATGATAGTTTTGTGATTTTCCCTATTGAACTTCCTTCTTGTCTGAGTTTAGCTTATAAATCAAGAATAAGTATGAAAATATTACGAAATATGATGAGTACAAAAAGTTTCGCACAGAGTTACTTGAAATAAAAATTTGCACGATCAATCTCAAAAACATTTTATTCACTACAAGCCGGAAAACAATTAGAAAAACTCTAGGCTTTAATTAATCAAACTATCCGGAAGATAAACAATATTCCTTGTTGCTTAATGCTAGAATCAGTCGAAAGCAACAATAACATACACTACAATACCTCAATTTCGATGCCTTTTTCTAGAGTAGAGACAATTTCCAAAATCAATTCAGAAGATTTATCACCGGATCGAATTAAACCAAAATCTAACAAATCTACAGCAGCATATAATCCACGTTTTCTCGTAATCTCTACCTAAAAAAAAGCTTTACTACTAACCATTTCCTTTTTTTAATAGTAAAATAAGCGTGATCTTCTTACATATCATATCATTTTGTATTAAATCATGGCTCGAAAATTAACATACATATTTTTGAACGAAAAACTCGAGTTTTCTTTGAAGCTAAGATTTTTGCGAAATAACCTACCTCTACAGGAACAATAAGTGTGTCTTCGACGTATTCTACGCCGATATTTGTCAGAGGTGAATTCTTTAATGACCATTTGTCGATCAATTTACGTCTCTTCCGATTAGTTTTGATTTTTATATAAGCACTGGAATTTCGTTCCCGTGCACCAAATAGTTTAGCATTCATCACAGTTTTTGTCTCATACGGAGCAATATCCTAGGAAAATACTTCACTCAAAACAAATTAAAGACATCAACTATGTTTGAAGAAATATCATGTACAAATAATAATGTTTGATCAATATTTTTGTCAAATATTTTTATACGTCAGATCAATTTCATGAAATTCAGGGTTCCAACTCACCCCTGAATAGGTAGACTAAATTATTAATAGAGAAATGCAACAAAATCATGGACAATTTTCCTATTCTCCATAGATAAAACCCAGTACATTATAAGTGTAAAAATTTCTTGTCAATTTTCCATTTTTCTCTTGAAAATGCTTAAAAAAATCATGGGAAAAAATGACTTTCAAATCAAATTTGAAGTAAAGTTTGGTCTGAAAGTTCAAGAAATACACTGCGACTTTAACGGAAAAGGCCTCAAAATAAGGAATGTTTAAGAAACTGAAGTTACGGTTCTCAATATCAACTGAATTCAGATTTATCAACAAAGTTAAGCTGCGCTTACCTGCCACTCACGACTTTTGTTTTAAAACTTATAAACTTTAGTTTGCTATCCTACATAGTGGATTATACTTCATATAACAGAAAGGAAAAAACTATACCATACCCATAATGAAACTGGATGCTGAGTTTCAGGAGCAACATCTGGCAACTCCAAATGCAAATCACCATCACTAGTGTATACCTCTGTAACGCGTAACGTTGTTGGATGCGGATTGTGTAATTGAACTGGTGATATCAATGTCCCGTTAACAGGTATTTTCGCACCAACTAACGGACGAATTCGATAAGCACTTCCTTTGCCTTTACCTTTAACCTATATTAAACAAAAATTTTAGAATTTTTTGTAATTCGACAATACTTAATAATTCAACAGTGCTTTATCAATTCATAAATAAACCAAAAAGAAACTTGTCTTTAAACTTCTTCTCCACAAGGAAGATAGATTGATGAGATAATTCTAAAATCAACAAGAACACGGCCTATTACATAAAAGAAAAGATCAAGAATGAGATCTTTCCAAAAGTGCATACTTATTATTCTAGAACAGTTACATAAAGAAGAATATATACCGAATAAGTGAATGATCCCATTGATGAATGTATAATGAGGACATTTTCAATAAAGCCCTCCTGTCGAGGCAGAAAGACTACGCTGAAAGTAGTTGACTCACCAGGATTCACGGTCTGAAAGAAGTGGATTGTTTCAAAAGTTTTTTAGATAAAATTTGAAAATTTTCGAATTGTTTTTAGAATCATATTTCAATTGAAAAGAAATCGCAAAAGACAACTCTCTAAATAATAATGATGCTCTAAAAAGCACTAAAACTAATTTGAATTTAACTTGTTCTTCCGGTATACTACCAAATCACAATTTAAAACTATTTTAAGACAAAAATTACTTCTGTTTAAGTTAGTTTAGTGCTTTTTCAAGAGAAAAGCCATCAAAAAGTTTACTTTATGTTCAGGAAATGAGCAATGAAAATGAACGGTGGAGCCAGAAATCGCGTCAAAACGAACTGTTGAAGCAGTTGGATTATATATTCGAACTTCATGCTGTTTAGCCATACCCATTGACCTAAAATTTTAATTTAAAAAACTGAAATTTGTTGAAAAATGCTGGTAGTTTAAAAGAACCAGAGATTTTTGGAATTTTTGAATATCTAACCCATCTTTACTGAGGTTATTTCTATTGCTCGATTCCATTTTGGTTTGCAATTTTCATTTCCCACATAAGTGGAAGGGAAATCGGAAGAACTGGAAATACTTCATCTAATCACTTTTAATTGGTTTATCATTAAGCTCATTCGGAAATAGAACTTACTGTTCATCAAACAACAATTCACTTGGAGTAAATTGTAACTGATTGTTAAGCATTGCCCCATTTTGATCGATACTGCTAAAATTTTTTTAATATATGCTGGTAAAGACTACAGAAAAGATTAAACTGTAATTTCAGACTTGAAAAAGATCATATGATTAACAAAAGACTGTATTGATGAAGCCGAAAAATCCTAAGCTAATTTAAGTCAAAATGAAAGATGAATTCCAGAAACGTTTCCGATTCTTAAGCTAAAACCCCTCTTTGCCTATTTTATTTTCAACACTCTCACTTCTTCGTGATATTCAAATTCAATTTATTCTAAACAAAAAAATTGCTCTTAGGAGTAAATTACGCAATAAAAAAGAAAGGAAAAAATACCTTTTCAAGGGTGCACCACTAACCAATGAATCATGATATTCGATATCCGAAAAATAATGTAATTCGTTTCCTGTTTGCACAAATGCAGTAGCCATAAATGGTAGTTCAATATTGAGATCGAAGGTCGTTTCAGCTATAGTCCAACAATGGCGCATGGTGCAATCAAGATGCAGCATAAGAGTCAACAGTAAACATTTTCCGATAATCATGCTACCACTGCCAATCATTATACATCCCAATCTGAAAAATAAATAACGAAATGGATATGTCGTTAATTGAAAATATTTTAAAATTTTCCAGATTTCAAAACAACATGACTTTAAGATAATATTAAAAAAGTAATGGAATAATACAGTCACAATGATCAAAAGTTTGATGGAAAAAAACGAATCTACGAATCTTTAAAAGAAAATCAAACTAGAACTGTATGTTTCAATTTTTATCCTTACCTTTATATATTATAACTACTATGATAAGACGAAATTTCGGATGTCAGCATTTCTAACACTAATAAAAACTTCAATTGCAATAATTACAATCGTCACGCACTTTACTATACTACCTTTTCTATGAATTCTTATTAAGTAAAAACGAATCAAAACGGTTGTAATAATCTTCGTTTTAGAAATTTACCATTCAGAAACAGAAACAAAAATATATGATACAAAAAAACAAAATATATATATATTTACTTATTTATTTAACAAACCCCAAACATTTCAAGTTATAGGTGCTGTTTGTTTTCAATCGAAAGAAAAGTATGTTTAATGATAATCTGTAATGTGATAATTATTCTGTGACTAATAATATAATATAACGAACATACTCAAGCTAAAAGATCACCGAAATACTATTTACTGCTAACAATTCATAGCAAACAACTATTGACAATTAATAGTTTATGATCAATATAGAACAGTACTTTTATCTTTACGTTAATTCAAACATCGATATTCAAGCAGCATACACACAAATGGATAGCATTGATAAATAAAATCTGAAAATATGAGAAATATGATAAGAAATATGATAAGGAGGCCAAATGGACGGCTCTTCACGAAAAAGGCTAAGACTTGATTTCATTTCAGTTGATGATTTTATCAATATTGAGAGAAATAATGCTTTATAGCAAATATTAATTATAAATTAATAACAACTAGCAAAATAACAAAATATTGCAAAGCAGGATCTCATATTGATTCTAACATGCAACGTTAGATTTTATATAAAATAATGAATTCACAAAAGTCGCATTAAATTGGGATTAATAATAAAAATACTTAACAGCAAATAATAATTAAAAAGTAATCACAGCTATCATTTTTCTCATTTTTTCCTCTTAACTTATCTAATATATGTGTAAGTTAAAGAGATTAGTAGTATCATTTTCCTACTTGTAAAAAATAAACTTTAAATCAGCAACTTTACAGATATGTAAATATATTAAATATATCAATTACTTTCATTGTATGCAAGTAATTGATGAAAGATAATCAATCAATTATCAATACTAATTACTAACACGATCCCATTAACGTTAATTACTAACAACTAATAATTAAAAAGAGGGAAGATATCGCTTTTTTTAATTATTGAAAATGAGTAAGTAAAATGAATAAAATAATGTAACGATATGTATATTTATGTGAAAAAGACTTTGAAATATAACATGAAATATTAATTAAGTCAATGAAAAGAATTGGAAAACTGCAGTGATTTAAAAAAACCTGGATTAAAGGGAAAAAGTAAATTATCAAACACAGCTACCGATTAAGAGAAATAATTCTTGTTAAAATGCGAAGAAAAATTGTATGTGTATGTGTATGTGTATGTATGTGTGTGCATGTATGTACGTGTTTATGTACACAGTGTTGAACGCAACAAAATGTCTGATGAAATTCTAAAAAATTAGAAATTAATTTTTATATGTCACAAGGGAATAAGTGATAGCACTTGCAGCAGGAAACCGGCTTTATGATTCAGTTGTTACGATTCATGTCCTAATTGAACAAATTATGTGTGACTTTGATTGCAATAGTAGTAACTGACTGGGATTACTATAACTGTTAATAACTTTGCAAATTAAAAATAAATCGAGGTAATTTGAGAAATTAAGATTATAATATTTTCTTTGAATGATTTTCATCGGTTACATTTTTTTCAACATCTCCCGCGCTACTTGTGAAATATTGATAATAACATAAGTAATCGTTCAAGCAGTATAAGTTGCCAACTATCGGCTATAAAACACTTACAACAATCAACTAACTCTTCTTAGCCTTATCGCGTAATCCACGTGACATAATCCTTATCATAAGAAAATCACGCAGCCTTAGATGTGAAAAAACTTTTCTCAAGCAAATTTTGAAAAAATGCTGGAGCATAAGAATTCATTTCTAAAACTACCAGTAGAACAGTATGAGTTTTACTCATTAACCTATAATTTATGTCATTTAATAATAATCCGTGCTTTCACTTTAAATTAAAGGCCAGGAGACAATAGAGCTTCATCTGCCTAAAATATATTCATCCTATTCAGTCTTAAAGTCAATGAACAAGTATTGAAAAACAAAATCTCTGATGATCAATAAATGGAACAATGCAGAAATGATCAGAGGGAAGAGAAAAGTTGTAAAAGAAATTTTGGTTGTGACCTTAACTGATTCCTATATTATTTAAACGTTACCTACTTGTTATATTTCAATCTATTTATATCTGTCATCTGTAAAAAAAAGAGTTTTGTCGGACTACAAAAAAGAAAGATGAAATGGTGGAAAAATATATAACATGATTTCATACAACATGATAATTCTTATTCTGAAAGCATTATAAACACGTAATATGTGAGTATGTGATGAAGTATATGGGCATGAATGTATGTGTAGTACGTATGTATGTATGTATATGTGAGAGTTTGTACAGAGTTCGTTACAATTAAAAATAATTTAATTAGACTAAAATTTGAGAGGGGAAAAATATATGAAAAGTTTTCAACTTTTCATCATTCAATCATTCTAATTCCACTTCATACATATAGCAAATCATTCTTGCAGTCACAATAACTTGACTACAAATGGCGGTAAAAGTAATATTAACCATAAACAGATAATGCAACTCTGGCAATATTTAATTCAATTTAAACAATGCTTCATTCAAATTAAAATGAATGATAATTTAATAATAATAATAATTAATACTGATAATTAATAATAAGCAGTAATGACGATGGTAATTAATAATAATTGCTGATAATTAATAAATAACAGTGGTTATTAATAATAATAGTGATTAATAATGATAGTAATAAATAATAAATGGTAATAAATAATAGTATCTTACAAGATAGTATCTTATCTTATAATAGTACCTTATGAGGTGCGAATTTTTTGAGAACACCCATTTGATTTTAACATAGGAGCTTTGATTATTACCGCTATAACTAATACAAAAACCACAGTAAATTCACCGAAAAAATGGCGGCAGTGCAAAGCAGAATTTAGAACATATGGTAGCTATGGCCCACCAAAATGTATGCCATAAATAGTGTTAAGAAATATTCCCAGCTCTGCATAACTCTCGTGTGTGAGAGAATGAAACAGATGAAATCATCATTTTCTATTATCACTTCTCTACCTTCGCATTTTTTTTCCTTCCTCAGCCAGACGACAGTCCTTAAATATTGTAAGACCAACAGGAGAAATTTCCACAAAATCAAAAACTGTGCTGAATAACAAAAGTTAACATTTTCCAGTTCCAGATTATGTAATCTCTCGCAGACATATATCTAATAGCTTGGAAGACATAAACAGCCGATTCTGCTTCACGAAAAAGGATATTATAATCAAAAGAAATCCTTCAGTTGTTAGCATTGCACACACGAAACAAAACTCAGTATTTATTTCACTTCAGAATATAAGTAATTTAGTAAGCATTGCAAAATCATTTCGGGGTTACTTCAGCTTCTTCTTGATACGCAAATCATTTGAATGTCCACACTTTTTTTTACGACAGTTCGTTGCACGCGGTGGGAGACGAGCGTAGCACTATAAATACGTTGATTTGAAATTGATAAATTTACTAGAATTAAAAAGAAGTTTGAAATTTTCGAAACATTCATAACTCAGCATATATTTGACTAACAGATAGCAAGAAAAAGCAGTAAAAAAGAGAAAGTGAGGTATCTCGGAAGCAATGCACCTAAAGTAAAAACCTGCTTACTGAGCTGAAGGGTAATGCATTAATATGATCTACATTTTCAGAATCCAATTTCAAGATCTGTCTAGGAAAGAAAATGAATCAACGTCCTTATGCTATAATCAAAGCCTCATAATTCAAAAATCATTAATCACCAGCTTTCTTTCGTATTTCCACAAAAAATAAATTGAACTACTATACATTCTTTCTTCAAAGGTTCTCTCTAATTTTTTGGCCTGATTACTGACCTCGAAATGTAATATAACATAAATATAAGCCAGCATGTAGCTTATAAACTTGTAAAAACTACAACTGAAAATTTTCAAAAAATTTGAAAAGTTTTACTAACCTTGCGGCAAATTTGCTTCTCACAGTTGTATTTCTGAGCAAGCTGTCGAAGGGATGGCTCAATGATACCACCACGAAGACGAAGAACCAAATGAAGTGTAGACTCTTTTTGGATATTGTAGTCTGACAGAGTGCGTCCATCTTCCAACTGCTTGCCTGAATTTTGGGTTTACAGTGTATTAAAGAAAACTCATTTAGCGTTAGAAATCCCATGCTTTAATATTTATAGATAATAATTATAGATTTTTCATATTTCAAGCAACTGATATGAGTTTACTGGCGATATATTAACTGCTGATCACAATTTTTCTTTATCCCATACTCGAATTGCACAAATATTATTCATACTTTTATATCAGAGTCTATATCACTAATCTTATAGAGAGAATTTTTACAGACACCTTTATGGTACCTCTCTTCAACAATAGACTGCCCATAAATATAATTAGATCTCAATCAGAATCACATCACTGCAGTTTCTGTGACAATCGCTGCACTTGCTAGTTAAAACGTGTTAAAAGTTAGTACCCGCAAAAATCAGGCGCTGCTGATCTGGAGGTATGCCTTCCTTGTCCTGAATCTTCGCTTTCACATTTTCAATAGTATCTGAGGATTCCACCTCAAGCGTAATCGTCTTACCAGTCAATGTTTTAACAAAAATTTGCATAATGAAATCTAGAAAGTACAATTATAGTGCTCGTCCAAATTAATTTGTTACGTAACGTACAAAATAGTTTTAAAAAAAGGAAATCATTCGATAATCGCGGTAACGATGAGTCCACGACCCTCAGAAAAAACTCTGCAAATTCTAAAAATTTTTACGTAAGACCCTTAAGTATAAAGTACAATAGCAACACTAACACTATAACACTACACCCTCTAACCCCATCACTTCCATTTCAACGGTCATACAACCTAAAAGCTACATAAATCCCGACCAAGAATCCGCCGATTTGAAATGAGTCTATGTAATCTATTTTCTGAGACTCTATGAAAATTACCCTCCTAGAATTTTCAATAAAAACCAAACCACACCACACAGCAAACGGATATCATGGATACAAACTTCAGTGTTTGCTAGATGTGAAATGTCGATCGATCAAAGGATTTCAGTGTTTAAATCAACACATAAACGATATCGGTAATTGAAAATTTGATGTATTTATCACAATTAATTTATTGAAATTTATCAAAACTCCATGCATACTACTCAGAGTATCACGAATGAATATCATATATAGTGGCACTTTGATATCATTTATGTTATATATCTATTCAGTAATAATGGTCACTTATCAGAATCTTATTCAATTTACATGATAAATTTTTATTTCTACTTTTTCTTCTCTTAAATTAAATTAATCGAGAAAGAATTTTTGCCTGAATATATATTAGACTACGTGCATTACGTGAATAGGTAATTGTATTAGATACGTTGATAACTGTACAGATGGCTAGGTTGACAATTGTATAGATGGCATTTAAGGAAAGGTTGTGGATATGTAGATGACATGATGGATATATGGGTGGATGGACATCAAAGTTTATATCTCAAACTATGTAGACTATGTGAGATGATTGCGTGATAAGGATAGATAGATTGACAGTTAGCGTGATGATACGTTCAAATATGAATATAAGGATAAAGAGGATAGAATATTATTAATTGATCAAAAATAAAAAAACGATAAAAAGTGAATCGTTCCATAGCGCCTTATTGTAAGCCAAATGATCAATTAATCATTCATTTAAAGAAAACTTTGGAAGGTAAAAGTATGGTAGCATAAATATAATTGTAGCATTAATTTGATCTTTGACTCACAATTACCATTCTCTGAAAATTATCCTAATGACTTTTGATTTTTAAGTAAAATAACATCATTTCTCATGAAATCCTTTTTTGGTCTCTTTTTTTTAAACAGAATTTTAGGAAAAATGATTATTATATAGATTAATTAAATAGAAAAAGCGAGTTATGTCTTGTTTTTCTTCTCAAAATTTTTAATTGATGTAGAACAAAAAACAAGAAAAAAAAGTAATAATATTCTTACCAAAAAGTGGAATGGTTTTCATCATATTACAAGAGGCATTGGATCAGTTGTCACATAATGCGACTGTAAAATTTTCGGAATGTCAATTACATTAAAATTATTGCGATTATTACTTAACTGATCAGTTACAAAAGTATTTGATCATTAAGATATCTTTAATTGTTATTGTTTAATATGATAAGCAGAAATAAAATGCTTAATTTTATGACATATATTCAGCCGAGCAATTTACAATGTTTTAAACTAGACCGCAAAAAGATCCAAACTGTAAGAAATTCTTTTAAAAGCAATAAACGGAAGATAAAAAAAAAGAAAGAAATAGAAAAAAAATACCTCTTCGCAGTTATGAACAAATAAACCACCAAATAATCGTACAATAGGAAGAGTAAATTGTGGAGTAAATTCGAAAGATTCAATGGATGGTATATTGGTAGCTGTTGTATAATGATCAGAACGCGAAGAGATTCCGTCTCGTCCATAGTCTGATTCAAACCACCGGGGTTGGACTATTTTTTGCTGAAATAGAAAAAAGAAGATAATTTCATTCATTTCATTTTATAAATAAGTAAAAATGAATATTTTTAATTTATTAATAAGATTTCTCTCTGATAGTGTATACGATAAGTCAAAAAATCTTTTTAAAAAACACTGATAAAAAATATGATATGATGAGAGAAAGAGGAAAAGGAGGGAAGGAATATTTTTTATTTTCGATTATATCATTTAATTTTCAAATTCTTTTGCGAAAATTAGGAAGATGTTTGATATGTTTTGTTGAAATATAAGCAATTAAGCAGATGATAATATAACGGAAAGAGAAAGAAAGATTTAGTGAACTTTTGGTACGTGATAATTCGTAAAAGTATTGACATGAAGCATTAAGTCGATAAATTCTTGTTGCAATACTGAATGATTAAATATGAAAGTGAATAAATTACCTGGGGTGGTGATCCAGTTGGCAATGTTGGTGGAATAGCAGTAGTAGCGGTAGAGGTTGAAGCACTTGGCATGGAACCGAAAATTTCGTTACTAATTGCTGGCTGAGGTGGAGGGATAGTTGATCGAGGCGCTACCGGTATTTGATCCGATTTTTCACGACTCAAACCTTGTTGAGAAGTGGGCAACATTGGAAAAGTTCCGAATGTTGGCTGAGATAGTGGATGAAATCTGGGTGGTGTACCAGATCCAAGTACAGTCTGAGATGGTGGATTAAAAGCGAATGGTGCACCGGTTCCCAGTATAGACTGAGGTCGTGGAAGAGATCCTAATGATGTACCAATTCCAAGTGGTGTCTGAGGTAATGGAAGTGGTGCACCACTTCCAGCCGTAAGCAGAGGTGGTGGATAGAATCTGGGTACTGCACCAAAGCCAGGAGGTGGATAGAATCCATGTGGCATGAATCCTGATGGCATACCAGTTCCTGGTACTGCTTGAAGAGGTAAATAGAATCCAGGTGGTGCACCAGCTCCAGATGCTGCTTGAGGTGGAAGATAGAAACCGGGTGGTATCCCTCCAAATCCTGGACCAAATCCAGGCAATGGAAAAACTGCACGAGGCAAATCACGAATATTCGGAGGAGGAGGAGGTCGTCCAAATAAAGCTGGTATAATATTAGGGTATATCGATCTGGTTGAATCATCCACCTTTCCACGTTCCGTTAACGTATGATGCCTTGCTAATGATACATAAGTTCCTCCTTCCTGCGGTAATTCATCCACTGAGCGAGTTAATAGTGGCCTTTGATGGTAAAAATTATGATCACCTTCCTGAGTTCGTCGAGAAAAACGACGATCATGCAAATTTCCATCCAATAATTGGCTTCTCTGTGATGATACCATTATCTCACGTGATAATTGTCCAGAAGCTGATTTACCAAAATTTTGTGACTTTCGGGTTCGCTGAGAGTGTGAAGATGGCGGATCAGCTCGTGATGAAATTTCCAATCGTCGTCTAGATTTGCGATACGAGTGACTTCGAGACGAATTATCATTTCCACTTCGTCCAGTAGTATGCTGAAATCGTAACGAGCAATCTGTTATTGCATCCTTCAATGATATTGGACCAGTTGAAGCTGTTAGTTGGGCATTTATTGCTCGTTCTTTCGATTTAAAAGAATCAAAGAATAAAACTTCAGACAACGGTCTCACCACTCTTCCCGCGCTGCGAGACATTTTAGACTGTCCACGTTCTTTACTGCTTTTTTCACTGTCCCGTTGTTCACCTTCACGGCTTCGCTGTTGTTTAGACATAATTTATTCACACCTATAGAAAAATCCAATAAACAACAGAACAAGAAACTAGACATAAAGGATAAATATATGATGTAGTTACAGTAACACTCTGCCACATTACTGTACAGTACCGTATTACTTTACATTTATTCGTTATACTCCTTATTCGTCACCAATGATATTGTAATAATACTAGCCAGTTGTACAAATGGTACAATCATCGTACTGCTGTACAAATGATACCACTACCGTTGTGAAAGATTTATTGCTTGAGTTCGTTACTAATAAATACACTGTACATTTTTGTCACAGTGATAGATGAAAATGCTCCATTAAAAAGAAAAAATAAAAATATAAAGAGAACAAAAGAGGAAAGAATGAAAAGAGAGAATAGATTACTGAAAGAACTTTCCCAGAACTTCTTTTTATTTTCCTGATTAATGGAAAGTGTTCAAAAATACCATTCATATTTAATGATAAGAAATTAAATATTAATTAATTGATATATCTGAAAACAATGAATACTGAGGTATTTTAAAACATAGAAGTGATGTAAGTGATGGTTAAGTGATATGAATCTAACAAGAGCTAAATTAATAACCATTTAATTCTCATTAATCTAATTAATAGAAATATATATATTTTACATTCAAACAACTAGTAAATAGCAACAATTTGTATGATACCATTATCATATCATACACACCTCAAACCTTTCTGTAAATCCAATAAGACCGAATTACTCCAATCGCACTAAAAGGAATAATTAATAAAAGGCCCACTAGCTGGTAATTTTTTATTACAGACTTTCAATATTGATATGCAAATATTTCATCGCAAATGAATTTGAAAAAAATTATTTTTGATGTACCTTTCTCTTTTATTTTTTCATAATGCATATATCCACTTCCTTTACAGCAATTAGACTAGTCAGTTCAGTTCCTCACCTTCTTACAAATTCACTTTTAAGATTTCCGAAAATTCAGCATGACATTTGAAACTTTTCCCTTTTTCAAGTTCAAAAAGCAAAAGGTAAGACAATTATCTGACTTGGAAAGAATGAATTAAGAAAAAAAACATTATGAGCATTCTTAACTTATATATAAATGATAAACCTCTGACAATAATTAATCGCAAATTAGTTTGTCCTTTCTTAGGAGTAACCCAAATAACTGGATCCTCTTCATAACAGATGAATTAAAAAGTACACAGAAGAGTTACTGGAAGTTGTTGTTAATTAATTAATTAATAAACATAAATAAATATTAAAGTTTCATCAAAGCTAACTTTTATGCTTGAACAGAATATATGGTGCGATTTGGATTTCTGCAGTTTATTCGAAGAAAAAGAAATATTAAGGACAGCTAGTATTGACTATTGTCAATGCCAGCTGCCAATTTGAACCAAATCTCTTTACGAAGGAATGAAGCACACGACGAATTCCAATATTGCATCAAAATTGAGAACAAAATTCAAGAAAACTTGACGTAATGAAGAGCAAGATTCAATGACGAAGACATGCAAGCGAAGGATTTCATTCTGTCATCATCAGATATCCAAAACATGTGAAAGCCTAAGCCATCTCGATTATCTTAATCATCTACATTTCAAAATTATTTCTTCTCTGTTTTATTGCGAAATGAAACAGTCAGCGAACGAAAAAGCTTAATACAAGCTAGAACATGTTTAATACAATTAAGATAAAACAATCAACACATTTGAGGCAGACTAACTATCTGAATAACTGATAAAATATTCAAAATATAAAAAAAGAAACCCTGAAGACCACACTTTTATTCCTGATAGATATTCTGGATAATATTCAGACAACAAAATCGCTATTTCGCTATAGTTAATATTACATTTTATCTTAAAATTACATTTTAAATATTACATTTTTTTTATCTTAAACATTACATTTTTTCTAAATATGTAGCTACGATAAATCACAAAGCTAAAACTGAATTAATAAGCAAATTAAGCACAATTCACTTGAAATGCCATCGTAGTTCAAATTGAAGATCTTGACTAGTAGCAATCTTATAGCAGGTATTAAAAATTTATAAACAGTATTTCATGAAGTTCCATACTGAAAATGGAATAAAAATTGCGCATCAGATTGCACATTAGGACAAAAGTCAACTTTAATGTCGATGGAAGAACAGGATGATAGGCATCTTTCTGATTCCGGAAGAAAATGAACGCCTTGTCGATGCGAAACAGACCAGCTTGGTCGCTCACCTATTTCAGGGCTGTTTAAAAGTCCACTAGTTAACCGATAACCGTCGTGTAGCCAATCCATCCAAAAAATGACAGCATTTGTACCAACCCTAGAAAGTATCAGGTTCTCCTGTAACCTTTTTTAAATTACGTTTCCAAATTTCAAACTTCACAATTACATCACGTGGTATAATAACATTGAACACTCACATGGAAGAAGCAATTTTTGCCTTAAAGGATGCGTGAGTCGGAGATTCGTTAAAATCGAATCGAGCAAGCACAATTGGCTTCCCAGTTACGATGGAAGGATATTCCCATAGCGGATGAGGTTCAACCATCGCATCGACAGCACTTCGGGCTCTGATAATCACATCATCAAAGGGTGTCAAGTCGAAGCCTTCCACGATACCGAATGGAGCTGCTATTTTCCATAACTCATCGAATTTGATTGGCATTGCATACATTATGCCTTTCTGCAAAAACGCTTTCAAAGTAAGAAAGTTTTTTCCGAAATCTTTCCAACTTCAATAATTCTAATTTCCCCCACAGAAATGAACTTGATTTCTGGTATTATGACAATTGGTTAAATAAAACCAAACAAACCCTTGGTGACAATGGACAAAATCTTGATTTGAAGGATTTTAGCAACTTATGTGCCAGAAACCAAAAGCACAGATTGTCCCATGGAAGAAAAGAGAACTGATAAAACGGTTCTGATACAATAACATCAATCTAAAAACAAAAATTTGCAACTACACAAAACTGAATTCAAAAAAAATTATAAATCAGCAACTTCAAATAATGCAATCTTTAATTTTTCGCTATAATCGTTATAGCAAACACTCATAGTTAACTTCTATAGACAATTTATTCAAAACTTACTTCATGACAAGGAACAGAAGCATAGTCTTCATAAATATTGATATTATTTATCCGATTTTCTTGAATGTAAGCCGAAATGATTCCCATAAAATGGTCATTTGGTTCAACAATTTGGACTCCTTTTGCATATTTTGCAAGCAATAAACTCATAAACGATGCGTCATCAAGGATAGCTACCGATTTTCCTGTAAAATTCTGTAAAGAAATTATATTAATTATAAAAAAGATCTTCGCTTCCTATCCTGAAAAATCACATCAGCAATATGATCATGACAGATGGGAAAGAGCACGATCTGTTAAATTATAAATAAATAATTATTTGCTAAAATACTTGGATTGGAATGAAAGTGACATAATTTTAAGAAATCAAACGAAAAAGAAATTTCAAATAATGCTTGAAATGAAGAAAAATCTAATCTGTACAAATTAGCTTTTCATTATACAACCATTTGTCTTAAATAAAAAAAACGACTTTTTTCGAAGCTCATTTACTCATTGATGTTTATGATGTTCATTCTACCCGATGCTCTTTCACTGCAATATATTTATGCGCCGAAAAATAAATTATAAAATAATGTCATGAAAAATGCAAGATTTTCAAAAGAATGCTATTTAACTATATCACAGCTTAAATTTAATAAATCTAAGTATAGAAACAAAATTTAAATATAGATACAAAGTTATAGCCTACTTTAAAAGTGTAGGTAAAGAAAACATCGCAAAGAAATTATTGCAAAAAATTTTGGATAAAGAGATTTCCCAAGAAGCATTATTATTAAACACGCTTCATGGAATATGTAACCAAGTGAGTCCGGATCTTTAAAAAAATTCAATTTAAGAAGAAATATAATTTTACCTCTTTCAAGAAATGATCAAAGGCAGCATCCTTATCAAGTTCATTTAAATGATAAATTGCATTTCGTGAGCAAGCAGCATGCATTTTACATCGACAAAAATTGGGTTCAGAGGTATCAAATCTAAACATAAACACCTCATTCACTCAGTTAAAAAACTTAAAATCCAGATATAAAAACCGTTTTCTAATTAGAAAAAAATTTCAAGCTATATTTCCATAACTAAGAGAAAATTCAAAAATACATACTCATTTTGAGGTATAGCAAACCAGAAAGTGAATTCGTCATGACAACAACGAAGCGAAACTGTTTCATTTTTCCGAACGTGAATACTTTGAGCAAGATAATAAACACCTTGCACCCAATGATCTCGCCACTTAGCTTCTTTGTTCCACCATTTTGGAGCTGTGCTTAGTATATTCCGTCCTAAAAAATAACTTGTTCCGCAAACAAAATATAAAAAAGTCATAAAACAATCGCTTTTTTCTCGGTTCTTCAAACGGACATACTTTTAGGTTTAAATCAAGAAGAGACAACCAAAACTTTCAAAAATTTTATATACTTACCCGTACCATCCATATCAAGTTCCCACCACATTAAAATTGCTTCAAAAGTGCCATCTAATTGAGCATCAAATGTTTTGACAGTTGTTTCGTTATAATTAATAGAACAACCATCTTCAAAATTGAAACTATAATTCAGTAAATGACGTTTTTATATTACGGATTCGATTCGAGCAAATAATATTTCGACTTTCTAACTTTTAAGGTACTGCTTTTCAAAAATGTATCTTATTCGCACAGAAGACATAAAAGCTTTCCTATATCCTATGATATTGCAACAAAAAAAAAAATTCGGCGTTTTAATTACATCAAAAAAAAATGAATACTGCTCTGAAAAATAGCGCACAGAGAAAAACATTGAAAAATTATGAAATAACCTAAAAGCTACAAACGGTTCTCCAAGCATGCAAATTTCTTCTTCTGGTACTTCCGAAACGTGGATATCATGTATGCTCCCTGCACCGGGACAATTCTTGCTGACTTCTGGAACTTTGAAGTGCCGAGATGGAGGCTGATGAAAACGCATAAGAAAATCACTTTGCACAGGAACTAACAAAACTCGTGCTGATGATGGGATTACTCTACAACCAGGCTGAAAGTAATCCTTTTTCTTTAAAAAAAATTAGATCCAAAATTAAAAATTAAAGAATGGTTTCCTAGATTTCACGGAAATTGAAGATCAGATCAGTAGGAATAACGCTGCACTGTTGATTCAATTGGATTGATGATAACAGACCTTAACTAATTTTTGGTGTGCTTCCTTGAAAGTTCGTAACGCACCTTCACCAATTAATTCAGTGTCAAATACTTCAGCAACGATTACATCTCCTTTTTCAATAGTACTAACTGCAAAAAGAAAAATGCTCTAATGCAAATGAATTAAAATGAAATTTCAAAAAAGGGAAAATCCTGCCAACTTTGTTCATCCGTCAACTCCGTTGATCGCGATGCAATTAAGCGTATTTGTCCATCATAGCCATTTTTTCGAATAATCTCTTCCGCGCAATTCGCCAGTGGTTCCAACATTTCCAAGGCTGTCACACTATCAGCACCGGCTCGAATGGCCATCATTGATAATAAACCAGTACCAGCACCAATGTCAAGGACATGAACTTCCTCTTTCGTTTTTTTAAGCTAAAAAATCAAATTTCGTAATGCTACAGAAATATATGACAGCACTTATAAGGCTGAAGCTGCATTGAAATCCTAAAATTACTTCCGAAATTTTCTAGAAGCCTAAAATATTATCAAAATTGGAGGTAATAAAAGTACGAACATCGGTAAGTCAACTGCTCGACAGATGCAAGACAAAAAATGAAGCGAAACAACATCCAATGAATCAGTGCTAAAGGAAAGATTACATTCTTCCAAAGATTCGGACCATGGAAGAATCACAAGTAGAAACAAAACTGTCTTAACTCAGACATACCTCGCCAATTACTGATTTTAGTCCAAGATCATATTTCTGATTTCTTTCAAGATCATGAATCATATCTCCAAACCCGCTACGAGCAATTTCTTGAACCAAATCATAATTCTCATCCGCAACTTTCCATGTCCGTTGTCCAGTGACAGGATCGACCGTTTCCAAGAACATCTAAATTTAAGAAAAAAAAACTACGAACATGACTGTAAATATGAAAACAAAAAGGAACAGCAAATGGTTTAGCTGATTACCCTTTCTAGCACAAACCGCCCCAACACTGCCATCTACATATCCTACAAAATAAAATAAAATTAAACGCTAAGCTAAAAGTCAGGTATATCTCTCCATTTTTTCTGATACATAACTACTGCATTTAATGTACAATATCTACCAAAAAATTCTTGAGTAAATTTCAAATACTTCATTTACATTAAAAGTTCTTTCTCTAACTTGTTCATCCTCTAATATCCTCTAATATACAGCCTCAAACATATATAATTGTGCATTTAGCGAAGAATCATAAGAACATAGATATTACCTTAGCCCAGTGTTTTTCTCGCAAACAGTTCTGAAACGCAGCAATGTAAACTTCGGGACGCAAAGATAAAATCTTTGAAAAAGACAAAATCCTTGAAAACTTATAGCTGAAGCTACTTCTGCAGGCAGCGTATCTAATTGATAACTCTGAAAAAATCACCAACGAACAAATATAGTCTACATATGGCTCAACATACTTTTGTACAAACATATACAATCAATACATATACCCCTCAATGCTTGTTCACCTATGAGCACCTCTACAACATACTTATACGTCAGGACTTGTAGAACTATATCTAAGAATTTTATACAAATTATCCACAGAATATATGCTTACGAGTGAGCAAAGCTTGTTTAAAAATTCAAAGTCCCGAAAATTCACCGAAAATGCAAATCGGTTCCATAAAGTAAAAGATAACAATCAGAAAAGATCTTTTATTACACAAAATACTATATTGAAGGAAGCGAAAATATAAAGAAAAATTAAAATTACACACTAATAGAAACATCAGTTCATAAAATCAAAATATTTTCAATGGTTCGATATTAAAAAAATTCTGGGTCCAAGTTTCAAATTTTTGGAAAGAACCGTTCTTGACATAAAGGCATTTAAGGGAATGACACATACACATATCGAAGATGGCGAGCCAGATTTGGTAGTAAGCAACCAAGGTTAGACGGGTAGCATGATGGAGATCGGGTAAAACAATATCGCACAAAAAAACGTATTAAAACTTGAATAACTCCAATAGTCTTTATAAAAATACTCGTGAAATTACTCGTGATAAAGCAATGCTGCTTTATCACTCTGCTTTCCACTTCCCCGTCGAAAAAAGAGCAGGACATGTGAATGTTGAAGTAAGAAAATTATCAAGCAAACGTAATATCAGCAAATGAAGAGGCAACTTTTTCAATACTCTTATCTTCCGACTGTCCATCTTGTATAGTTCCACCATTCGATAAGCTTCCATCACTTTGTACAATTATTTTCAACGACGCTTTATCGCTCAAAAAACATCCTCGTTCCTGACCCTGTTTTTCCTTGTCAACCTTTTCGCAAAACGTTTTGTGATTACACCAATCCATTTTTTGGCAGTCCGGATGACAGTAATATATGTTCTGAAATACATTAATGTAAAAGCCATTCTTTACTGATTTTCACTTGATTTAAATGGATTTTGAAACCACAAAGGCCAGAGAAAGCTTTCCTAATGTGAAAGTTAATGATTTAACACGTAGACTAAATGTTACCAATTATTAATTTAAGATTGATAAAAGATGAAATTGAGCAAGAAATTACCTTACAGCAGCGCTTGGTGGAAGTAATAGAACCACAAGTTGCACAAAAATGAGACGTTTCTACCATTCGTTCTCCCGAAAAGACTGACATTATCACATAAAATGCATCAGGCAAAGTACCCTAAACAGTCACTCCACAAATAAAATATTTTTAAATGAGATTTCTTAAAACATGAAGTTCAAATTAGGAAATTACATTTCTATTAACTTACAAACTTAACAGCTGCAAGGTTTCTAACAAGTGCCTGGAAAAGTAAACAATGATGATATGGAAATGCTTGAACAGCATTCCTCAAGTAGCGCTCCAAATTTGGTCGTATCCGATAATTCTGTTCCACTTTCAGCAATTGTTTCACATAATTTCCGATTATTGTCGATGTTTTATGATCTTCCTTTTCCAAAACCGCTTCCACAAACTTGTATGTATCTCGTACGGTATATAAAATTAACCACAGTTTTAATGACATAACCTGAAATCGAATTGAAAAAAAGAAAAAACACTAAAAGGCATTCCTAAAATAAAAGGATACCAAACATGAAAACTGTAATCGTAATAAATAATCTATTTCTTAATTTTGCTTTATGGAATTCTGGATAATCCAGAATCCTATTAGTCTTCCTCACATGTGATACCAACCTTTCATTCTGACGTATAAGTAAATCCCTTTTTTATTCAAGGGAAAAATTTCAGGAAAAATTTCGATTACAAAATTTGAACTATGCATACCTCATTTGATTCTTTGCATCGTAATTGTCTCTCAAAAATCCTATCCAAGACATAACAAAATTTCTGACGATGTTGCCATATTATTTCATAACGATCACGTAGGAAAAGCATGACCTGAATGAGTAGTCCACTTGTTAGCCGAAAAATTTACATTGCAACAGACATGAAATCCGGAAATTATCAGGAATTACCTCGGAGATTTGCGGAAAAATTACCACTAGCGATTATAAAATAATTATAAAATACTACAAAGAAACGAATGAATTACCATTAACTAATTATCACTTTTTTAAAAATGAATTAGCTTTTTAAAAATAACCCAATGAAAATAAATTTAAAAGGACAAATAAATCAATTAATGTTTTTCGTTAAATTACTTACCCAAACAGGATGTATTATATGAGTTTTGATCAAATCATGCAGTGTCTGGGAAAACTCCTTTGAATAAATTTCATCACTATCATCCCCTTTCGGATGCAGTAACTTCTCGATTTCATCCAGCGCAACATAGTTGTTGATAATACTAACACATTCATGTTGTCCTGCAAAATATCAGTCAAAAAAGTTTAGTCTTTTCGAGATATTATTTATTTCAACAAAGAGAAAATTTTTTTCAACAAACAATGAATTAGGAATGTCACTGTCAAATCAAAAACGTCGTGCAGCACATATCACGCAAAAAAGTAGTATATTAAAAAATTTAAAAAAATGTTAAAAATGATCAATAGAATCTAAAAATTTTTGTAAATCAAAGTTTGGAAAATTTAGAAATTTGAATTTCATTCAAATCTATCATAATAAAATAGTCGTTTGCTTACTTTCTGCGCGAAAAGTTTCAAATTTTTTTTACTGAGGGGGAAAAGTTTGAAAAAAATTGAAGAAAAATTATTGAATAATATGCGAAAAAACATATACATGTTTTACTCGATGAATCAGGTCACATACGGAAAATATAAAACAAGTAAACTGACCAACAAAAGCTGCCATTTCTGCGGCTGTTTTGCCGATTGCATTCGTCGAATAAACATATGCACCATAGTCTAATAACAACTCACAGATCTCTGAAAGACTGATACTTATCATATTGTATCGTAAGTAGTTAAATAATAATTTCTGTAATTAAACAAATAAGCATAACGACAACTTAAATGAACAAATACCAAAAGGATTTTTATTTAATAAACAAAGAGTAGCTAAATAGTACTACACATTTCTTTTTCACAATTAAGTTTAAGTTTAAATTAAGTTTAAATAGCTCAGGTTAAATTGAAATTGATTTTTGAATTAATACTGCAGAAACCGAAAAAACCTTGATGTCCAGCAATCGCTGCAAACATGAGAGGTTTATAACCACAGTCATGAGTACTGCTATTTGGATCGACACCATTTGCTAACAAAAACCGAACTACGTCTTTAAGACCTGACCAACTCGCTTGATCCAGAAGTGACATACCAGTCTGGAACAATATCATTTTTTAGGTTAGCATTACGAAAAATAAAGCTGAAAATGCAATGTGACATTTTCAAATAATATGAAGTGAAAGTGTATCACCACAATATTCTAATTTGCACAAAACTCTGACATAGTAAAGACGTTGCCACTCCCAGTTATAGCAGTTATTGTGTCTTGAAAATATAACCATCTGTTTCCATACATTAAATATTCTCAATGTTATATAAATAGAGATAACACTAATAATTAAGTTCAAAGATTGGGCAAACCTTATCGGCGTAATTAAGCGGAACACATGCACTTTTCAGAATTTGCAACACCTCTTTCGCATTCTCTAAATGGAAAAGAGAATTTCAAACACCATTTATTCATTTAAACTTCGATTTTATAAACATAATTTTTTGGTCTGGCAGATTTAATCAAATTTGGGATTTCATTCCACATAAGACGGAGTTATCTGTAGTTCAGCTGCTGGTAGTTCATTATCTTAAAACTTCAAAAATAGCCAATAAGCATTTATGTTCCATGTTATATGTAAAATTCGCAAACAAAACAACAGAGGAAAAAAATAGCAGCTGAATAGGATAAAATGAAACGTTACTTTTTTTGATCAGATCGAATACCCTTGCAGTATCTTCTTCTGTGTCACATTTCGAGATTGTCGTTGCTGCTTCTAAGTTATTCATTTCGAAATATTGCACTGAAAAAGGAAGCTTAACACTTCAAAACCTAAGCCCATAATTATAATTTTGTAGGGAAATGAAATTAAGAATATTTAGCTCCAAAAATTTACAAAACCAGGAAATTATGAGATTTCTGTCAGCACGCTTGTGAATCGACCAATAATCTCACAAAAAAATTTATATGACATGATCAAAAAAGAAGAAAATGATTAATAATACAGCCGTAATTCATCCGCTTAAAGTTGGTACCATTCATAATTTTCGGGCAAAACAGTAGTCCAACTTCATGACTTCCCTTATCCCTTCATAAGCTGATATCTCTATAATATCTAAAGTACCAAAAACCCGAAAATGAGGATCAGTAGCTAACTCAGAAATATGCACATTTTGTCCCAGAATTATCCGCGAACTAAACAAATTTACGGGAAATATTCATTTACGAAAACCCGAACAACATTCATCAATGAACGGTTAGTTCGTCGTATTACTCAAAAGCATGATATTTATGAAGTGAAGAAGAGCTGTTGTTGCTAAGGTAACGATGAATAATCAATTTCTACTAAAAATTCAATCCTATTCTTAACATAATACTATTGAGAGTAGAAAACTTTTAGTAAATAAGTATTTGATATGCGATAAAACTTAGTCTTAAATTTTTGTATACGTTTGTTTATTTGAAGCGTGAATTAATCCTGCACACTGTGAAATGATTAGAATTCAAAGCAAATCTTATCTAAGCTTGTCTTTCATTATTATTTCATCCATTATTTGAAATTCTTTCAGTTTTTGGATGTCATCTCAACGAAGGATTACATTATCACATTTGCTTTTCTTTGGTAAAAGTGCATAAGAAAGTGAAAGATTGAACAGATCTTGTCTTAGATAAGATTTGATACGCGGTAAAAACTAGAGATTTTTTTTACGAAAATGAGAGATTGAATAGATCTTGTTCAAACAAAGAAACAAAGAAGTGAAACTGAATTTCCGGCAGAGTATTTTACCAATTATATTGTAGTCTTCGTTCATTAATACAATTATCGAGCAAATACCAAGAAGCACATACACCGAAACTTGAAAAAAAGGAATACACGTAAGCCTGGTTGTTTTTGCCGCACAGCTGATAATTCAGGTGTAACATTTCGGTATGGTATATTTATCCTTCATTTTTCTTCAGATTCATTTCTTCTACCCAATAATCTGTAAATACTTCAGAATAGTGCAATGATTGCAATAAATAATTCTACAGTTATAACTTAACAAAAGAAAATGCAACAAAGAATCAATGATAAATGCTAAATGCCAGGAGAGAAAATGAAAAAATATACATCATGTTAAAGTCACGTTAGAAATGCTTACATTTTATTTGATAAGCTTTGTCAAAGAAAACAAAATGGAAAAACTCGTTAATGGCTCAGTAGCAGACCGATGCACCGGAAGATCCCATTAAACTGTATATATATAAGATTATCTTACACAACTAAAAATTTTCTCCTTCTGCCATAATTTCTCGACCCAGAAATACCGCTGCAAATAACTGCAAATAACTAACAACTGTTATTCTCTGTTAAAAAAGGTTCAGGTAAGAAACGAGTACGATACGTACGTTTAAAAATTACATGGTCTACTGGCCCAAAAACAAATGCGGTCACACTAAAGCGTCTTTCTCGGCTCAGTGAAATTTAGCAAGTGGCAACAGTTTGAAATTATCAATAATTTGCTTTTAATTGACAAGAAAAAAAGGAATGTTGCTTTGAGAACCTTTATGGGGAAATAAATAAGCCAACTATACTTCAAAACATTGATGATCAATTTGATTTAAAAAAGATTTTTCTTCTTTTTCTTTAACAAATATCTTTATGAGAAGAATAATGTCACGATAAGAATAATAAGATGATCCTTTATCGTCTGTATACATCATTTTTCATTCTTTGGCAACAATAAAAAAGTTTACATAAAAAAGGAATTTAAACTGAAACAATCGGAGAAAAAAAGTATCATATTTTTTTTAATCAAATCATTAGTTATAGATTTATAATTTAACTTCTGATTTTGCTTTGACAAGGTGGTGATTATGTATCTGTTGGACTAAAAATAATTATGGTTATATTAAAGTAATTTGAGTGGCACTTCATCATGAAAAATGTAATGGACAATGATTGCAAATATTAATATATTCATCAAAAAGCACAGCTAATATTATCAAACAAACTCCTCCAAATGGAGCAACGCTAACTAATTCCACGCATACAAGCTGCCATGAGTACCTTCAATTTAGAAATTTAATAATGAAATGCAATTTTAGTGAAGTGCAATAAAATTTCATCGTATTATCAGAAATTTAGCTTTCCATTTACGTATGGAAAAATGATAACAATGCGGATGGTATAAAGCTGGTAAATAAAATATATTTCGATAGATAACATTTCCAATCTTATCAGTAGACACAATGATCTTTCCTTGTAATATTTCCTAGTGTGTATCACACCTTAACATAACATATCTAACGAAATATATCACATTAGTAAGCATGAGTATCATTGTGATAAACAACACGAATGCAATGACAAACATCAGCCGTCACGGTAAAAATAAATTTAATATGAAGACACAAGTGACTGTCTCCATACGGCTATTCTGCTACTACGGTGCTTTTCTTCTCTCAGGCAATTCCATTTAATGAAGTAGACTTAATAACTTAGGTTTCCAAATTGGCAGTAATTTTACAAAATTAGATTTTGTGAAATAGTCAAGAGATAATTTCATATCACATTATCACTAGATTTATTTTTCTCTTCCTACCTCTCCTTCAGCTCATATCTTATGACTATTTTCTTCCATTTATCAACAGATCTATAATTGATTTGCGGTACATCTTTATATCTACTACGGCCACAAAAAATATTTTTCTTCCTAATCGTTAGAAAGTCTTGAAAGGGAATTTAATTAGCACTACAACTATATATTTCTGTGAGCTTAAACATTGTTGGTTTGATAATTAGAAGTGTTTCATTTCTTTCCAATAATGTATAATGCTTATAATACTCCTCTGAGAGTGCTATTGGTGCTCATTGTCTGGTGTAAAAAGATTGTGTCTCACTGATCTGCTACAATGTCATAAGACTACTTGAAATTAAATTTTGCAAATTCCGGAAAAAATGACTGATTTAAATAATACACCGATATCTCCACTCCACCTTAACCAATATTATATTATTTTCTTGCCTCCCAAAACATTAATTTTGAATTCCACCGATCATTGGAATAGATCTTAACTTTCACTCTTTGGTGATGTTTAGAGCTCATATGTTCATTGAAAATACTTTAAACTCGAAATAATTTAAATAGAGGCAGGACTATTGATGCGGTGTACCAAATAAGAATGAAGTCTTGGGTCCAGATGTAACCATCAAAATAATCTATTCCTATCAGACATTGATAAACTACATGATGCGCATATACTCGACAAATATATCGAAAAAAATATCGATGTAATCGATGAACTCCTATCTTTTATAACTGATGAGGGCTTGCATATATTATTCACATATTAAACTTGATTCAGAATTTAAAAAGACCATTTCTATCAAAACAGAGAATATGAGGACCAAAAACTATCATTTATCGTTGAAAAAACTTGATTTTTCCCAAATCTTTCAGGCTCATCTACTTACAGTCAAAAATATTTTTACTTCAAAACTAAGAGAGGTAAAAAAGTTAGGATATTTTCTTGTAGAAATATGCAAAATTGCGTAAAATACTTAGTTAACTTAGCTACTACGAGAACAACTCGATGCTGGACGATTCAGAGAAATACGTCGAGAAAAAAAACTTTTTCATCATCATATGGTTTTGCATCTAACAAATAGACGAAGGGAAGGGATGGTTGGAAATGATAAATAAACGAGAAGAGTTTCCTTTATGAAATACGAAAATTTGAAACTGACATAAAAAAGATAATATGTATCTAGGTAAACATTACGGCAAATACACATTCTTCAGTCATCATGTTGTAATTCGCTGTAAGCACCTGAATTAACAGCGTCAGCCAGTTCAGTTTTGCCAGCTTTTAGACGTTCACGAATCAACTGGGCCATAGCACGCTCCGTTCGTCTTTCCAGTTTTTCCAACCTTTCCGCAACATCACGTTTTAGGTCCCAGTCAATCTATTAACAAAATATCGTTAATTACATTGAAAAATGAAAAATTTTTTTGAAAAATTCAAATTGCTGAAATCATAAAAAGTTCGCACGTTTATGCGCATTACGCATCTCAGATCTTTTCTAATCTCCTATTCTTAATCGTTCTACACATTCACTAACTGCTTGCTATGTTTTCAACGTAATTTGCATGCGAGATAAAAAGCTGGAAAATAGGAAATCAAGTAAGCGAACTTTTCGAGGTGCTAATGTTGTGATATCAATTTGTTCCACAGCCCTAGTATCTTGGGTGTCTGCTAACTGATCAGCAATCTCCTTCTCGACAGCAAACAGATCCACATCATCACATTTATCACCCAAATTATCTTGAGGCTCATAACTCCGAAATGTGAGCTTCCTCGATTTAGTTAATGATTCAGATTCTGCTCCATCATCTAAAATCTTTACAGAGGTAAATTATTAGCCTTATTCTTCAATATCCAATCCTTGGTTTAATCTTATGCATATTTAATGCACAAAATGAAGTGGGAAAGTGAATAATTTGCATTGAAAGATCATTTTCAATGTTACAGAAAAAGCAGAAAAACTTACCCTCTCGTTGCATTTGTTCACGCATTTCCTTCAGCCGTCGTTTTCTTTCATTTGCTTCTTCTTCTAAGCTAATACTCGTCTCAGTAATATCGATCTCTTGCTCTTCAGTAATTCCATCCGTCATTTTTGATTCTTTACCAGTTCCAAGTGTCATTCTGAAATGATCTGGAATCTGTCAAGATTCTAAAGAATACAGCTTCCTCTCATCCATATACATCCAATTTGACCAACATTATGAAACTGATATTTTTTTTAATAAAAATAAACAGAAGATAAAAATACAATTGGTAAGAATTTTCCACCAATTTTATATTATCCATCTCTTAGTGCGTCTATCATTATGAGAAATTCAGAAACACAAAAGTTGGTACAAACTTCGAGCTTTCGCAATGACAAATTTCCAAAAATTTTATCACATTAGAAAAAACCAACAGTATACAATTTCCATAAGATAAACAATCACTTGAACAACAGATACAACATTTTCAATCAACGTTCATTTGACTACGATTTAATCAGTTTAGATCACTTACAGGCCAAGAACAAGCACGATAGAAATGATTTCACAGGACATTTTCTCTCCCTCCTCCAAAAAAAGCATCGCAAAAGATAGCAATAGAAGTGGAAACTATTAAATACTATATTCGATAGAACGTTGTCTCAAATATTTGTAATAATCCTTCATTTTATCCCAACCATTCTTCGGCTCCCATCTGTTTTTCATTGGTGGTCCATTACCTTCCTCAAGTCTACAAATATATCACTTGTTATAAATTTACATATTTAAAAGAGTTGAAAAATTATTTCTAATATATGAAGATGAATACCATATATCGATGCCAATATTTACTTTAAAAAACTGGAACTAACTTCCACTATATGTTACGGCTTTTTCAGCAACATAAGATATATATTGTAATTTTTTCTTATTTTATCTAGTTAAAATGCAGAAAAACATTTATTAAATGAATTAAAAATTTTGTATAAAATTTATACAGTAATGTTCCCAAGATACAGATTGCAAAGACTGTCGTTTTACCAACAAATGGTAAGTTCTACAAATGCGACTGTAGTCAAGGAATGATGAACTGCCGTGTAACGAAAGTAGTGGAGGTACAAGACGAATATTTCTTTGTTCCAATCCATAAATGACTTATTAAACGACTTCTTTCATAAAGTTTTTGAGAATAATACGAAAAAAGTTAACCTTACGAAAATATTAATGTATCGGTATCTCGTGATGGTAATACGTTCACGTGCATGGCGTCTATAACCTTTAACGATCTGACACTGAATTGGGAATGCTTCCGCAACATGCATATCCGATGGGAATTCAACGTGAAGCTCTGTAGATGCTTTCTTTTTCGCGTCAATAAGAACTTGTCTTAAAATCATACAAGCCTGAAATAGAAAAGGTTAACGCTTACGGATGTTACTAAGACTTCATGGTGGAAATACTTCAATTAGTAAACAATATGATTCATTTCCAAGCAATAACCATAAGTTAATCCGCTTTTTTATGTGAATTCACAAAGCTAACACTAGGAGAATTAAAAGTACCAAATGATAATTTTGGATCTTTACAATAAGCAAACAAGATTAAAAATTATATGGTGAATTTTACAGAAAATTTGAAACCTTTTTACGTTGCAATCTTAGTTGTTCTACTGCTTCGTCAACATTCAAACGCCAAATCAACTCACAAGCCATAAACATTCTTTTCGGACTACAGTGTATCGATTCACGGCAGTGATAAACTTGTCGCAAAAGTGGCAAACCGGTCTCAGGACTGACATAATTTGGTGGCCAAACAATCTGGAACAACTAGATCTTAAATCATTCATCATAACCGGTACGTTTGCATTGAAATACACATTTGTATGAGTATTTTGTATGCGTAATACTCATACAAATGAGTATTTCACACCCTCGATACATCTGTATTTATCGATCAGTACATTTGGATTGAAATACTCATTTATATGAGTATTCCGCACTCTGAAAAATAGTCTTTTTTAATATTGCAGTAGTTTTCGATAAGTTTGATGAGTTCATATTGCTTCAGAGTGTGAAATACTCATACAAGCATACCGATCGATTTTGACGCAACATTTAAGAAGTTCAAAAAATATGGGCATAGAAATAAAATAGAAAATATGAAGCCCATAAATTAAGACTTTCCGAAAACTAATGTATACTTCCTGTAATCTATACTTTGTTAAAGCGGAAATTCATTCGTTCCGCAGGAATTGCGGAATGAATGGATTTTTGCGGTAACAAATTTACGGAACAACACAATTAAAATAACTTGGAAAAATATAAAGTCAACCTTGTTATAGTAGTTCCATTTTTCAGGAGTCATTACATCTTGGCCAATCATTGGATGTGCTTCACCTTCTACACCATCATGTCGTTTCTCCAAATCCCACTCAGGTGCATAATATAACTTCGGTCGTACCTTAATGATGATTGTTTCGGATGAATTACTCTACCTTATCAAAGATAATTATTTAAATTTCGAAGACTTCCTATAATTATCCAAATCTTAATAGACTTGAGAACTATTTGAAAAAGCTGTTTCACATTTCCTTTTAAATAGCTTAAATTCTTCCTCAATACATTGAAGAAAACTCTCAACCTGCTCATCACGCTGAAGCTTTGGTTGTCGAAGTTTTATTCGTTGTTTCCAAGCTTCTTCGACAGTAACATCGGTACCAGGATGCACCCCGTAGCACCTTTGAGAAATTAGTAATGATGACACCAATGCGGAAGAAGATGCTCGTAATGGATATTCCAAACAAGAATGTGGCTTTAAGCATAAAAACCCTAACCGCTTTAACATCTTTTACTAAGACTGAACATCCCGGATTATTCAGGAATAATCCTTAAGTTCCTGAAATCTGAAACTAATCCGAATACATGCAACAACTTAATTTATTGCAAACCTGTAAATTAAGCATTAAAAGTTATCGGCGCAAATTAATCGTAGTAAATTACCAACTCTCAAATTTCAACACTCCTGGTATTATTGAAAACCAATTATCTAACCTTAGTTCCGAAAATTAATTTTATCTAACCTTAATTTCATACCACAAAAAACAAATAGAAATATGTGAAAATAAAAGCAGATGAAATCTATTTAATCAAATGTTATAAACAGAATATTCAAACAATTAGAATGGAAAAATAAAAATTTTGCAATAACGATGTGCACTACCAACATAGTATAATTTATTGATAATAATCAAAGTTGTTTAGGAAATATTTTGGTTAAAAAAAAACCTTTCTCTCCTTTGTTGCATTTTCAAAGAAATTAAAACAATTCATATAACACATCAAAACGTCTTTATTCCCGTTTGAATTAATCAAAAAATATTTGCAAAGATCTTCTATTAATTACTATATGTGCTACCATAAACTAAACAATATTTAAAACCGAAAATATCACAAACTTGAGAGTATTTTTCTGCAATTTCAAGCATTAAATTATACTAAATATTCTTCATATGGCTTATTTAAGTACAAAATGCTATCGTGCTTGAGCTTACGGATTTAAAATATTTGTATCTGACTTAATTTGAATAAATTCACATTACTTCACATCCTTCGTTGGATCTTATCCATCATTTACATGTTAAACTATCTGAAAGAAGGCACATTACAAAATACTGACATGTAAAATAGCATTGAAGAATTTCAAACTATTTCATTTTTTTATCGAAATAGTATTGCTGATAATTATTGTATCCACGGATAGATTATTAATATGAAAAACAGCATTGCTCAAACAATTTCGCGAAAAACAAAGATCATTCATCCAGCAAAATAGAGAGACTAAATATCAAAATGATCACGCAATATGAATTAAACGCTGTAACTATACTGTAACCAAGCAATGAAATTGCATAATTTTGTTTGAAATGATGAAATGATATAAGCATAAAAGCATAAAATCTATAAAATCAAATCTTTTTTTTTCTAATTTGACTTTGAATTTCGCCAAGTAAATGGGACAGAGTATGACAGAATAATGTAAAAGCGAGGCAAAATAAAATAAATTTTTACACAGTCTCACTTCATAACGACAGAGGGCTAAAATTTAATTTTAGGAAAGATTCACATGGCTGTTCAGCAATTATGCCTGTATAAAAGCTCAAATAATATGTTTTTTTTTAAAGATAAAGCTCAGAAAAGATTGAAGCATGTGATAATCTACAAGAAATTGTTCCCGATACATGGAAAACTAAAAACATTCACTATTCATTTAATAGCACAGATACTGATGCTTTCGATGCTTTCAGTGCTTTGTATTCTAATGTTAAGCCAATGAAACCATGCCACAAGCAAAATCCTATTGATAATGTTAAGATAAATCGAAGTGTTAATGCCTGAAATACAAATTCAAATGGGATCTTGATTGTTTGCTAATGCAATAGTATATAATAAGGTCAACATTTAAAGAAATAATCAAAGCATATAGTTCCTAGAAAATACATTTCGACTTGTTTCTCTTACAATTCTACCCATGGTGTAATGATCAGACCCGATTTTAAAGTAAACAAATTTACTGTCAGTGCGATAAGTGCATGTAAAAAGCGAAAAGATAAAATAATTGCAAAATGAAAGACATCATTTCGGTTATAAAATTCCTTCTGCAATAAAAAATTCAAATGAATATGTAAAAAAGAAATAACACTATCAACTAACCGCTGTTTTAACACCAGGAATATGTTGCTCAGCAAAAAAAGTGGCCAGAAAAAATCCAAAAAGGATAAAAGCTAAGCTAAGGAAAACAAAACGATCCCGAATGGCACGAGTTATTCCTTCCTGTTGAGTTTCGATAACTTTTTTCAGCAAATTCGATGGAGTTAACGGTAGACACTCGGTAATCTGCAGTGGTCGAAAATTAGCAAATTCTTTCCATTTGAAATTTGGGTGGACCCAATTTTAAAATATTCAGAAATCAAAAACTGATTAAAGATATATAATTACTTACTTGTAACTATAGATATAAAATGAAAAAATATTAAGCCTGATAATGCAAGAAACAAACAAATACGTTTTACATTGTTTACAGTCTAGCACCTCAAAATATCATCTTTAGAAGAATAGTAGCATAAGTAAGACTTCTCCGTTTCCCTTAAACGTAAACGCAACATTATGAAAAAGACAGCACTTGGCTGATTCTTTTAAATATTTAAAAAGGAATATGATGCAGGCATTGATGGTACATATTAATTCCTTATCAAATAGAGATCATCGCAAAACCGATACTTCATCATACTGCTCCGATATAGAAAATTCAGCGTAAATTCCAACATGATCACTATAGTTGATTGATTTTTGGTCATGTACACGATTCATCCTTATTTCACACAACTTCAACTCTATTTTACCTAAATAAAATGAATGTTAATAATGGGCAGCCTCTCATTAAAAGTAGAAACTATTGGTAAAAAATAGGACGTAAGATTTTTATTTCTTTTTATCATAGTCAGATAAATTAAAATTCAATAAGTTCCAACGATAACGTTCTGAAGAAAAGAGTAATGTACTGCCACTCGAGAACACATATTGTTTACCTAATAGGAACTATAACAACAAAATTTTGTCAACCAGTAAGAAGCTTATTTCATTAACTCAGAAACCCGCGGTTCGGGACTTCACAAACTCCTGGAGAACATTTCCCGGGTTCTGGTTGTTGTGGAAATATCCCTGCTGAGATGTTTAAAGCTGTGCAATCTGATCGGTAAAATGTCAAATGAATATGATCGACAAGGCAAATTTTCGAGGACCAGTTCGTTTAATTTCCGAAGTATTGGTTGTGTGACATATATTAGGCATTGTTGTAGAGAACTTGGATCTTTCGGCTACTGAATATGAATTTTCGTTTGTCACGCTAGTTCATTGAGCATACTTTCCAGATCTAATGGTTTCCTCAGATATCGTAAAGGCAGCAAACAGTGACTATTTTTTTCAGAAAAAAGCGCAAGATCAACTTTGCTAAATATTTTGGAGTTTCTACGCCATCTAGACCACTAGAACGTCTGTTGTTCGTTACTGTGTAAAACTCATTTTTCATCGAACGCCCAAATATGATGAAGAAATGTTTCCTTGTTTCTTTTTTAATGACCCAATTTGAATCGGTCAATTTCGTTCTTCACTTAAATCCACTCTATAATCTAAATAAATGTAAAACTAAAGATATAAGAAAATAAGAAAATACTAAGCGAGAAATGAGAGTTACAGTTATGTTCTGTAACCACACTTACTTGTGGATGCGCTCCAATATCAAACAGTGCAACTGTATCAAGCAGACTTCAGAAAACTTTAATAATGCAAAAACTACAACTGCATTTGCATCAAGCAGACTTGATGAATAATGGACTCCCAATCTGATAACTTTCTTAATATATGTAATTCAATAACTGTGTGATTAAACGTACCCTTTCCATTCCTATACATAATATAATCCAAACGTCTTCCATAATTTTCTTTATTTTTGAGTCGTTGAGGTGTATAACAATTATCAAGTCTTTCGAACGTCGCACCACAATCATCGCAAATATTCTGAAACAATAAAGAATAAATTTTTCAAACCTGCCCCTTTCCAAGTTAGGGTTTTAGAAAGATTTTAGAAAATTAAAATCACAATAAAGGTCAACATTAATCTTATTCTTCCTCCCAGCTATGGCTCGAATTTTTGTCTAGTTCTTAAACAACCTATCATTTGTCCTTCACAAAAGATACTTTAAAAGTGTATCCTTTTTAGACCGGACTGGACGTCCTACAAGGGTAAAAGGGAACTTTGTTTATTAAGTTCTTCTTTGATTATTGTTCAGTTAGTTCTCTGAGTATGACGAAATTATTTTTATCTTAAAATGACATTAAAAGTAACCGGTTTCTGAATCCAAGCATCTCTTAGATTTGCGTTTTTCACGATTAACTGGTAGGCAAGATTGTCCGGTTCAATGTTAAAATCGCCTGAGACATATTAATCTACACAGTTTCAATCGAGAAAGGACGAATTATTCCGATTTAACAAACTTTATTCTTAGGTTTCAAGGCTTCCAATTTTAGAAAATCGGAGATAATTTTCATGAAATTACATTCGCGATATGCAAAAAACAAGAGTTGACATCACTGTACAGTGCAATACAAGATACTGATGACTAAGATGATACGTCTTTCATAAATAACTGACCCTCAGTGAATTGTCGGAGAATCTTCAAAATACGTTGACTGTAAAAGAAAACAAACCAGCAAGAATTAAGGCATCGGCGGAATAACTTGTGTGCTTGACAAACTGAGCCAGTTCAAAAGCTTGAGCAAGGCGATGAGGTAAATATAAATCTTTGTTAGGGTTGTATTCAGCGTGAAGCTATAAACTTGAATTTCAACCAAAATTACTGAATTTAATTTGTTCAAAGAAACAAATATTGATTTGCTGAAAAGGGAAAAAACTCAAAAAATTTCCGGTTCACAATTGAAAAGTAATAGACGATGAATGTAATGGAGTAGAACTGTGATTCCAGTTCCTATTACGAAAATTTCAAAGAGTATTGCTGAAGTTTGTTAAAAAAAGCTTACATGAGCAGCATAAAAATTGATACGATATTGCTCAATTTCAATTTCTACTAAGCCCACACCTTTTCCACCAAACCAATCACCTCTGAAACCGAAAAATACATTGACTTTGCTATGAAGTTTGGAAAGATTTAAGATTTGTCAAGCTTTGTCGCACCGAAATTATATTTTCAATAACTTCAGGGTTTGCAAAAGTTTCCCAACTGACTACTAAATTTATTGCAGTGGATAAATGCTAATGGCTCGACCAAAAGCTCATACTGAAATCCTAAATTAATGAAAAAAATCTTGCCAATGAGCGAAAATCATTCGATCCAAACTTTCGGCACTCTAATTGTTCCTGAATTGAATAAACTGCTTAAAAACTAGCACCGTTTGCCGAGAGCTGACATGTAGTAGTAGTAACATCAGCATCTTAAGAAGTGTCTAATGAATTCAACGACTCAAGCATTGTGGGAAAATATCATAAAATTACCTGTGTATATGATGAGCAAACCCATTCAATGTGAAACGATGCATTAAAGTTGAAACAATTGGATGACGACTGAAAACGCAAATACCACTTCCAGTGAAACCACTGCAATGAAAAATGGAATGTTAAAGTTTGTTGATAAATTTAAAAGTATGAAGTTCGAAAAAAAATCAATAAACATGATATCAATACCTATGAAAGTAATAGCTATAAATATATGTTCCTTTCAAAGTTTCTTGTAGATGAAGAAAATCACGTTCCCCCCAGACCTGAAAAAAAGAAACTGAACTCTTTTAGAGTACAATCCTAATTAATTAAGATTCTGCAAAAAAAAAACCACGCATTATTGAGCTACAATACGATTTACAAGACTTTGAAAAGTACGGCTTTAAGGTATGACTTCTCCTATTTAGAAACATTTTTTAACAAACGAAAGTCAAAGATTTTAAAATATATATCATGGTTTAAAAACATACTTCTTCTAGGGATACAATATCATACTCGTTTTGCAGCAAAGCTTCTCCAATCTTTTTTATTCGAAGAGCTTGATCACTGCTTCCAAATGGCCATGGTAAAGGTAAAGCCCTGAAAATTATAGCTGTTCAATATGGGAAAGAAAGCCAAGGATTGAATTATCAAAAAATATAAATAACCCACCAGTCTAATCAAAATCGAAAAAAAATACTCTATTGATGATAAAACTTAAAATTATGTATAGTTAAAATTAAAATTACGTCTAATAGTAGAAGTGCTCCCACAGATTTGAAGAATCGAAGAAAACATATTTCATATGTCTAAATAAGTTCCGAAAGACAACAATGTTATTAAATTATTTTTCAAGATCTCAGAAAACCAGAGAAGAACCTTACTTCTAAAGAAAAGTACTTTGCCGATATGTGAAAACTAAATTATCTACTAATTACAAAAGCTTTCCTCTATGTTTTCCAAAAAACCAAATGATTAAATACCAGCAATTTAAGTTAACAACGCGTAATATCAGCGGCATATTTTCCGGCAATATTGTAATAAATTTGGCCTGTTGACTTGAACTTTCACTGAAATGCAATAAGAAATATTTTTTTAACTAAAACAACAGCAATCATAAAAAAAAATTCATAATATCCACTTTTATGTTATCCATTTTGCAATATTAACTTTCTAAATATCATTACATCCAATTCCAATCATTATATTGTCTATTCGGATGCAATCACCTGTTTGTAATCATGAGTCAAATTTTAGTTAAAGAAAAGTAACATAATTAAACGGATTGCTGATGACAGATCATCGGTGATAAAAGAAGAAATCAATCATACTCGATTTTTTTTTGTTCATCAATACTGTCTTTAATATCAATTCACCTAAACAAATTTTTTGAATTTAATAAATCCATGAAGCAAGCAAACCAATCATTGCTTTATAGGATAAAACTTTTACTTGAGAAATATGAATCTTTTCGAAGAATACATGCAAAATGAAAATGTAAAGAGGAGGAAAAGAAAATAAAAGCCAAAATCTGTTTCGCATTTCTCCCAACAAAGAGATTAAAGTGATATTGTGAGAAACGATATGGAATAATAAAATGCAGAATAATCAAAGTAATGATTGAATGAAAATAAAATCTATAATGATAGATAACAAAGAATAGCACAATACACGTAAATCAATTAAACAATCTAAGCGAACCCATAAATGTCCTAAAACCACGAAGCATTCAATGTCAAAAAAAGCTTAATGCAAATGCCAAGGATATCACATTTCACAGATTGTGTACGGCCCGTTGCATGGAATCGGGGTCTGCAATCAGTTTTTGAGATGAATAATATAATTGGTTGGGTACTTCAAGTTTTATTTTAAGTTTCGCGTGCAATGCGTGATCCTAGTCTCGCGTTCAATTATTTATTAATTTCAATTTACCTTTCTGATTTCATCCTGCGCGTTATCTTAGAGTTAACGAATTGAATTAATATTTTATGCTTAATTTAACTCAAATCTTTATTTTCCAGCATAAATGTCGTTGCTCTTATATCAATTCCTTCCTGCTGCACGTTCGCAATTATTTCGAACTCGATTAAACCAAATGACTAAAGTGTTTAGCACAAGTCAAGTGCAACATGCTCAACCTGTAACAAGTTAGTCTTTCTTATTACGAGTTTAAAATTTTCATTTTCAGCTTTTATTACGAGTTTAAAATTTTTCCGATAAAAGTATCAAGTGGTTTAAAACACTTACATGTAGTTTATATTTCATATGACTACTCATACTTCAGCGTCAGATATATTTCTTGGGGTTATATTTCATATGACTACTCATACTTCAGCGTCAGATATATTTCTTGTTACTTTGAAGATGTTCATTAGCTGTGCTGTAATCAAAAAAGTGTAGTTTAGTAAAATTGAAGGAAAGTTTATGTTCCAGATTATGACGAAGAGGCGGATGATCGTGATCGTTTCAAGCACGACAAGTTCTACAATAACGTAGTAATGTTTGGTTCACCAGTTGTATTTTGTATTCTTTTCTATGTGACCTATTTGGGACATAAAATGGAGCAGCACTTCGACCAAGAGAAATATGTCCATTATCCATACCTCACTGTTCGTAACAAAGTGAGTTAAATTCGAGTGAATGTTATATTTGCTTTTTTGTTTAAAAACTAATGCACACAACTCGATTGTTCGACTTATATTTAGGGCTACTGCTTGAAAGATATTCTATCATCTACATTTTTAGCCGCTTCCGTGGGGTGATGGTAATCACGCTTTATTCCACAATCCAGAGACGAATTACGTGCCAGGTGTTGGTTTCGAGAAGAAACAAGAAAAACACCATTGATTCTGCAATTATTTAAAAGTGCGAAATATCTTTATTTCTTTACTTCCGACTAGCGAGTTCATTTTACTGATGTATCTTTGAAAATATTCACAGCTTTTGTAGTGGCGATTGCTGCAAAAAGTTTATTTGATGTTTTGTCTTTGCTGTACATATGAGAGGTTCGATCTTGTGCAAGTGTTTTGTGCATAAGCCTACTTGGTAAGCTACGAATTCTAAAGAACAGGAACACATTCTACATCTGGAAAACTTTTTCGGTGTCTTTTTTAATGGCTTTCAGATTTTATGGTTTTTTGTGGTAGGAAGGGGAAATAAATTTGAAGTGATATAAATTCATAAATCACTATTAACAGTGATATTTTCTCATCAAACGCAAATGCTATTTTAGCGGTCACTCTTCCGCAATAGTTTTTTTCACATCGCCTTTTAGTTCTTAATAAAATTGTCATCTATTGGTCGGTTCGTTTGATTTTTCATTTTCAATTTGCATAAATATGCAGCATTTCGAACTTTTTCACGAAGCTTGTTTTTAATGATGGTTTCTCAATTTTATTAATTAGGATTTTATACCAAAGTATGTGAATTGAACAATGTTTGCTGCTTCACACATCAGATTGGAATTGCTGCGAAATACAGATTTTAGAATTGTTCGACACGAAAATTTCATTTAAAAGTGACAGAGCTACATGCTTGGAACTGTTGCGCTGATTTGGAGCTGTTGCAAGTCATGCAAAAGTGATTTATAGTACTAATAACATTTAATAATGAAATCCTTAATAGTTGCATAAGGAGTTCCGGACTCCAAGAATTTCATATTCGAATTGTAACATTCTTTTATATTACACACTTCAACTCTCGGCTCTTTGCAACGTACAGTTTGCTATCAAGGATTCTTGAACTTGCTAATGATATAATGAGATGTAAGGAATTAACTAAATCGCACTCGAAATCTTAGCGATTTACTTTTACAATATACTTTTACATTTCATTATCCTGGCTTGTAGAGTGTTTTACTAAAGCATAGAAAAACCATGAAGTATAAGTGGAATAAACTGAAATGACTCATTCCATTTTGCAAATCCAGCATACGGCTGGATCATCAATTTTAACAATTTGACAAATGTTCGTCAAGCAATAATCATTCGAATGTTACTGCAATCAAAAAATGAATAAAACTTTTATTTGTCAAACAAATAATCTCGTCTGACCAAACATCATCAGTGAATTATATCGAAATGTAAAACTGATAGATGTCTGGAGGAAGTGATGCTTATTGTTGTTTTTAATACTTTTTTACTATATTTGAAATAATTAAATTATTTAAAGATATATTCCCACAGAAGATAAGATAGTAAAATGGAAATCACTGAGAATTTCTTGTAAGTCAACTAGTAAAAAGTCAGCAGCTGTCCGTTTCAAATTTAATAAATTTCAATTTATCAATTAATAAATTATCTTTTTTAATATTATTATCT